ACACACACACACACACACAGCGGAGAAGAACTTAAGCAGCACTATTGACTATGCTAAGGTCATACCTTGGTGCTATTTATTGTAAAGGGTATGATGCTAGTACCTTCATTGGATTATCTGTCTGTTAAATGGAACATGGGGCAGGCGTACTACATGTACAGTACCAGTCAAAGGTTTGGACACACCTACTCATTCAAGGGTTTTTCTTTATTTTTACTATTTTCTACATTGTAGAAAAATAGTGAAGACATCAAAACTATGAAATAACACATATGGAATCATGTAGTAACCAAAAAAGGGTTAAACAAATCAAAATATATTTTATATTTCCGATTCTTCAAAGTAGCCACCTTTTGCCTTGATGACAGCTTTGCACACTCTTGGCATTCTCTCAACCAGCTTCATGAGGTAGTCACCTGGAATGCATTTCAATTAACAGCTGTGCCTTGTTAAAAGTTAATTTGTGGAATTTCTTTCCTTCTTAATGCATTTGAGCCAATCAGTTGTGTTGTGACAAGTAGAGGTGGTATAAAGAAGATAGCCCTATTATGTAAAAGACCAAGTCCATATTATGGCAAGAATAGCTCAAATAAGCAAAGAGAAACGACAGTCCATCATTACTTTAAGACATGGAGGTCAGTCAATCCGGAAAAGTTCAAGAACTTCGAAAGTTTCTTAAACTGCAATTGCCAAAACCATCTAGCGCTATGATGAAACTGGCTCTCATGAGGACCGCCACAGGAAAGGAAGACCCAGAGTTACCTCTGCTGCAGAGGACAAGTTCACTAGAGTTAATTGCTACCTCAGATTGCAGCCCAAATAAAGAGTAGGTGAACGGATTATCTCTGCATGTGTGGTTCCCACTGTGAAGCATGGAGGAGGAAGTGTGATGGTGCTTTGCTGGTGACACTGTCTGTGATTTATTTAGAATTCAAGGCACACTTAACCTGCATGGCTACCACAGCATTCTGCAGCGATACTCCATGCCATCTGGTTTGCGGTTAGTGGGACTGTCATTTGTTTTCCAACAGGACAATGACCCAAAACATACATCCAGGCTGTGTAAGGGCTATTTGACCAAGGAGAGTGATGGAGCGCTGCATCAGATGACCTGGCCTCCACAATCCCCCGACCTCAACCCAATTGAGATGGTTTGGGATGAGTTTGACCGCAGAGTGAAGGAAAAGCAGCCAACAAGTGCTCAGCATATGTGGGAACTCCTTCAAGACTGTTGGAAAAACATTCCTCATGAAGCTGGTTGAGAGAATGCCAAGAGTGGCACCGTCATAGGATGCCACCTTTCCAACAAGTCAGTTTGTCAAATTTCTGCCCTGCTAGAGCTGCCCCGGTCAATTGTAAGTGCTGTTATTGTGAAGTGGAAACGTCTAGGAGCAACAACGGCTCAGCCGCAAAGTGGTAGGCCACACAAGCTCACAGAACGGGACTGCTGAAGTGCGTAGCGCGTAACAATTGTCTGTCCTCGGTTGCAACACTCCCGAGTTCCAAATTGCTTCTGGAAGGAGCTTCATGAAATGGGTTTCAATGGCCAAGCAGCCACACACGAGCCTAAGATCACCATGTGCAATGCCAAGCGTCGGCTGGAGTGGTGTAAAGCTCGCCACCATTGGACTCTGGAGCAGTGGAAACGCATTCTCTGGAGTGGCGGCTCCTGAAAAAATTCTCAGGGGGGGCAATTTTTCTGATGATTTAGGTGACCTACACACCAGAAGCATTTATTGACTGATCTCAAAAGTGTTGGCTTACAAAAGCAAAATAAGTTATCACAGTAAAAATAATCAAGGGTGTTCTTTCACATTCCTCAACACTGCATAAACAATATGCATTTCCATAAAACACCTCATCTAATTGTGCCACAAAGTTGACAAGTCCAAGAAAAATACCAGGGTTGGTGGAGCCCTCAGTTTCATCTTTGCCTCGCAAAGCTAACTCAAACACTCCGCAAAACTTCACACACTGGATTAGCCGGCTGAGGATGTGGCGGTTCTTGCTAACCTCATCGTTGTGGCGGCGGACAGCTAGCCTGTATCCCTCATCCAGTTGAGTGGCAATGTTCACTCTCCCCAAAGCAGACAATCTCAAACAGCTATCCATGTGGGTCTTTGACAGCTCATGTTTCTTAATCTTTTCTGAAAGATGGTGCATGTCCGTTACACCAGTCGCTGTCCAAGCGGTGCTGTCTGCCGTGCCGCCTTCAGGGTGAAAGAGTAAGCAGGGGTAGCAGAAGACTGCATTAGCTACATCGCAGCCTGCTAGCCAGGTTTTTCGTTCGTACCAATTTTTGGAAAATCCTCGGGTGTAGGACTTTCCCCCTTTAGTAGAAACCTGTTGAATTATTACATTTGGTCTGGGAGGTCCTAATTGTTTCATTGCCAATTTATTAAGATTTGTTCGCCGACAAAAAGGAACTTCTTTCAAAGAGACAATCGAGTTGCACTGAACGCTAGCCATCTTGACAGTAGTACGTGAATTGATTGACGCTGCTACCCGCTCTTTTCTTAGTTACGTTCATGGTTATGTTACGTATGACGAAAGCGCGTAAGTGCAAGCCCTCCCGGAACCCATAGAGATTGTATTGAAAGCTCTGATATTTGAAAAAAAAAGATTTTACATGAGAGTCTATGAGAGACTTCTTGGGCGATTTTCAACCTGACTGAAATCGCCCCAAAAGGGGCGGGGCCATTTGAAGCACGACTTAGTGATGACATTTGTGAGATCAACGTCAGATTAAACACTGATAACTACTTGCCGTGATTTTGATTAGAAAAAATCCCTCTTTTCCCGTTGGCAGTGCCGTCGATGAATTGCTCTGGAGTGATGAATCACGCTTCACCATCTGGCAGTCTGACGGATGAATCTGGGTGTTGGCGGATGCCGGCGAACGCTACCTGCCCCAACTGCCATAGTGGCCAACTGTGAGAAGTTTGTGGGAGGCAAGATAATGGTGTGGGGCCTGTTTTTCTCATGGTTCGGGAAGGAAAGGCACCCTTGAGTTCCCAGTGAAGGGACTATTTTATGTGACTCCAAACGTTGTGGCACAGTTTGGGGAAAGGCCTTTCCTGTTTCAGCATGACCATGCCCCCATGCACAAAGAAGGTCATACAGAAACTGGTTTGTCGAGGCCTCCCGAGTGGCGCAGCGGTCTAAGGCACTGCATCACAGTGCTTGAGGCGTCACTACAGACCCTGGTTTGATGCCATGCTGTGTCACAACCGGCCGTGACCGGGAGTCCCATAGGGCGGTGCACAATTGGCCAAGCGTCGTCCGGGTTAGGGGAGGGTTTGGCCGGGCGCCTGCAGGGTTTGGCGGGACTCCTTGTGGCGGGCCGGGCGCCTGCAGGCTGACTTCGGTCATCAGCTGAACGGTGTTTCCTCCGACACATTGGTGCAGCTGGCTTCCAAGTTAAGCGGGCGGGTGTTAAGAAGCGTGGTTTGGCGTATCATGTTTCGGAGGATGCATGACTTGACCTTCGCCTCTCCCGAGCCCGTTAAGGAGTTGCATCGATGAGACCAGATTGTAATTGGATCGCAATTGGATATCACGAAATTGAGGAGAAAAAGGGGGTAAAAAAATAAAATAATGGTTTGTCGAGATCGGTGTGGAAGAACTTGACTGGCCTGCACAGAGCCTTCACCTCAACCCCATCGAACACCTTTGGGATGAATTGGAACGCCGACTGCGAGCCAGGCCTAATCGCCCGACCTCACTAATGCTCTTGCAGCTGAATAGAAGCAAGTCGCCGCAGCAATGTTCCAACATCTAGTGGAAAGCCTTGCCAGAAGAGTGGAGGCTGTTATAACAGCAAAGGGCGGATCAACTCTGTATTAATGCCCATGATTTTGGAATGAGATGTTCGACGAGCAGGTGTCCACATACTTTTGGTCATGTTGTGTATATTATGACACCTACAAAAGAGTGTCAAAACCCACATTTATTCAAATGTGTTTTTCCCTGCCAAGAAGTTTCCTTTCGTTTGAAAGTTTGTTTCTTAAATCCATTGTTGTTGTTGTAATGATTTCTTTACAGTCATGTTTTTTTATCATCTTATTTTTAAGAACTTGTAGAAAATCCACTTTATCATGCTGTCAAGAGACATTATGACCATCCTGCGTCACTTTACTTGGACTAAGAAAATACACTTTATGACAATGTCATGAAGCATTATGACTATACTGTGTCACTTTACTTGGACTAAGAATTATAACCATCAGAATCATGTTGCCAGAAAGGCCTATCACGTACATGCCCTTATGTCAGTCATCAGTCAAAAAGAGGGTGTATTTTCCTGCTCCTGAAATCTACTCCTGCATTCATCCCAGTCATTAGCAACAGAGTATTGGGGTAGGTGCATGTCTGACATCAATGTGTGCGCAATTACAATGACACTTTAATATGGCCAATTTCAGATAATCTTATGTAACAAAAAAATACTGTCGACAAGTCGGCTATAGTGTAATGGAGCGAGTTTTGACACTCTTATGTAGGTGTCATAACCAGCCATAAAATAACGCAATATATGACACAACAGGTCTAAATATATTTGTCATGACAGTGTTACGACCATATTATGACAGGTTAGGACAAGTTATGTCAGCTGTTATGACATGGTTATGACCGTGTCATAACGGGTTATGACGCTAGGTGTCAAGTAAAGCGTTACTTAGTAGGGTAATGGGGTTTGTATTGCCAGAGGTGGCATATGGGTGATAGTTTGACTGATTTGTTTCCTCTACCGATAACATTTTCCAGATCATGGTGCCACCCACCTAATGACTTCCCACACCTTAATTTCCCAATTAAATTAGTTTCAATGGATTATTTTAGTATCTCTTTGGGGGCTGACTAGGCTGGGACTCTAGTTGTAAAACATGGGGAAGCACTGATCAATGTTGTGACAGTCACACTGGGCTCTGATTAACGTTGCTGATCCTCCCCTCCATTACCCTTTTATTATCCCTCGTTCTCCTTCCCTTTGTACAGTACCCCCCACTAACCTGCCCCCATCCCAGCCCCCTTTCCTTCCTATCCCCCATTTACCCTCATCCCCCTTCAACCTCACCCCGTGGGGGGCCTCCCAGTATGGGGGTGTCCAATCTGTGCCCCCCTCTACCCTCCAACCCACTCTCTACCCCTCCTCTTAGCCAGGTTAGGGTATCTCTCCTGGGGGATTTGGCAGTCGAGCAGCCTTTACAAGCCTAATCAAGTAAATATTGAGGAGATTTGTGAGCTCTTTGTAATGTGGCTCAGGCTCGGGTAATTCCATTGTGTCGCTGGGTTAGAGGGCTGTATTTGGTGGTGATTGGAGGTTGTGGTAAACCTCGATTGAGTTAATGATGGGGTAGGGAGGGAAGGCTCTGTGGTTACACTGGGTAACTGGTTAGGGTAAAGCTGTGGGAGTTTAAACGAGGAGCTCAGAGAGAGAGAACCAAGCCTAGCAAGAACCAAGACCTTTACAGTAAAACAAACACACAGCCATTTTGGATTGTAGGGTTACAGGTTTCAGGGTGGAACGCACGTGGTCGATTTAAGTCTAGTGAATGTTTCTACTGAGTTTATTTCAGTTGGATTGTTTCAGTTTGATTTTAACACTTGAAAACTTGCAACCAAAATCTTCAAGTCAAATTGTAGGGTTTTTAGGACGCTGCTGTTTTAGGACACCATTTAAATGATGTCAAAACCAAAGTCAGTCAGCTAAATGGAAACAAGATTACACTCTGCTGGAGGCAGTTGGCAAAGAGCAGGAGAGCGGAAGGGGAGAGAGAGACATAAGGATAGTGGGAGGAGGAGAAGCAGAGGTAGTAAATCAGTGATAAATTGGAGAGATGGAGAAACTCAAGGAGCAGAGGGATAGAGGAGGGAGTAGGAGGACTGAGAATGAGAAATAAAGAGAGATTACTAAGCGAGAGAGAGTCTCATGAGAGCTATCTGTGTGTGATCGTGTGTGTGTGTGCATGTGATGGAATGACATGTCAGTGCTGCATCTGCTTGTTGTGCGGCTCAGCTGGATCGCCGTGGCTACCAGCCATCCTCCTTACCCTCTCCTTCCATGTACTCTCTCTCTCTCTCTCTTCCTTATATAAACTACCTATTTGTACCAACATACAGTACCTTAGAGGGGGAGAGCGTATTCAAGTCCCCTTGAAAATGGCAAATGGCGTATCAGTAGTCCGGTCACACCTTCTCCTGCTAGAGAATGCCCCCTGGCACAGTGCCAACGCCCCTCGGTTGGCACGTTCGGCACGGGCACAAAGGGGGCAGGATGCAGGAAGCGGTGCTGAAAGGAACCGAGCCCCCCATCACCCGCTTACTGGGCTGAATTGAAACTGTGAATCTGAAAGGCCATACCCACACCTCCATTCATACTACACATTTACATTCATCTGTGTGAGTCTGTAGGTCCCTCGGCCTGTGTGTGGGGAACAGGGAAGGGAGAGGTGCATTTCTGTTGTTCTTCACATTCAAATTCTTCCAAGTGAATGTGTGTGTGTCCGTAAGTGGGGATTTCCCCCTAAAATCCACATGCAGACATTTGAGGAGTGAGTGTGAACCTTCGCGTTCTTGTGCCTATTTTAGCCTGTATGGGTTCTTCTCATTGAGTGTGTTTCATTCACATTCACAGGCTTTCCCGAGTTCCAACTACTTCACAAATCCAGTCTCTTTAATCACCCTGTTTTATTCTCAGTGATCACACTTCTACTATTAGAAAAAAGGGTTCCAAAAGAGTTCTTCGGCTATCCCCATAGGAGAACCCTTTTTGGTTCTATGTAAAACCCTCTGTGTAAAGGGTTCTACATGGAACCCAAAAGGGTTCTACCTGGAACCAAAAGGGTTCTACCTGGAACCAAAAAGTGTTCTTCAAAAGGTTATCCTATGGGCACAACCGAAGAACCCTTTTAGGTTCTAGATAGCAGCAGGGATATACATAGTTACCATGGTTTCATTCCTGTTATAAGCAGTGAGAGACCAGTCATTACCATTTCCCCTTGATAACCAGTGTGATCAACCCAGTTTATAGAGTCTATGTCTTCTTACGCAACATGCCATACAATTCATTCTCATAGTGGTTACAAGCATGTGAAGCAGCAGATTTGGCTAATAAGGTTCCAGTCTTGTTAAGAACTGAGATATATTCAGTGATTTAGATGCCAGATAGTCAGCAGACAAAGCCATCTGCCTCTGTCATTTTTGTCCCCAGGAGGAAACCGTACACTGGCAAACTGGAGCAAAAAGAGTCTAGGACTCAGATGGCGGCAACTGGGTGTGTGTGTGTGTGTGTGTGTGTGTGAATGGAAAACAGCCTCTGGCTCTTTGTATTTTTCTATTTTCTTTTCAGACAGAATGATCACATTATCCCTTCAAATAGAGCCATGTTGAAAGCCTGCTGGTGACACTTCAGGAGTTCCATAAATCATATACACTGCTGTATATGTGGGATGTTGAAGAGCGTTTTTTAGACCCCACACTCAGGGCTGGATTCAATCCGCATCGCAGAAGTATCGTGGAAGATCCGCGTTATAGCCTGATTTAAATTGAAAGACAATGTTCCTGCATTTGCAGAGATTTTCCGCGATACTTCCGCAATACGGATTGAATCCAGCCCTTAAAGCTTTCAGACTGAAGCACTTGGGATAATTATGAACAGAAATGTTCGTAAACAGAGCAATCTGGATTTAAATGTGTGCCAACCTTACAAACTTCAACTATGAGTGACATAGTGGTACTGCCCTCACCCTAATCAAAATAATGTTGAGCCTGCACACAGACACACAGACAGACACACAGACAGACACCCAGACAGACACACACACACAATTTTGTAAAAAGTGTTATGTTTGTTATGTTTCTCTCCATCCCTTTTACCCTCTCATGGCCTCTCTCCACACTTCCCTTATCTGGCCATTTCATCTGTCACCCTATCCATCTTTCCCTGGCTGCTCCTCTCTCTCCTCTCCGTATTCCATTACACATGCCTCATTGTTTCCACTACTACTACTTCCCTTCCCTTCCTCTCTTTGTCGTCGTCGTCGTCTTCTTCTTCTTCTTCTTCTTCTTCTTCTTCTTCTTCTTCTTCTTCTTCTTCTTCTTCTTCTTCTCTCCTCTCCTTTTTGCTCCTCTCTCTCTCTCCATCCCTCCTTCCCCATGCAGGTGTAATGTCCAGGACTACATCTGGCACAAGGGTTCCCGCTGTGAGTCGGTGGTGACAGAGTTCCAGGTGTTGTGTCTGACCATCGGGGCGTCGGCCCTCATGGTGCTGCTGCTCTTCATGATCATTGTCTGCTTCACCAAGAAGCTCCACGTGCTCAAGACCGAGAACAGCAAGCTGCGCAAACGCAGGTAAGCTTACAGCGTGGACCTGGGGAAACCTGCGCAAATATAGGGGAGTTTATGGACCAGATAAAACCAGTTACACCTTTGTGCTAAGAAAACCAGGAAAAAACCAAGAAGTGCAGCCATAGATCATAGAACCCACAGAAAACTGGCTGCGCAAACGCAGGTGAACTTATGGACTAGAACAACCAGGCAGCAGATAGACAGGTATTTGAGCTCTTGTATTCTCACAGCATATTTATGTGAAATCAAAAATCATAATCACTATCAACAAAGCTTAGCATTTCTAGCACTAGTGAATATGAACATATTTAGTATTCGATTGGAGTATTACATTAGTATTAGACGTGTAGTCTGTGAATTACATTACAACTACTTCCATTGAAACAAAGCTCAACTTTGGGGGCTGATGGAGAGAGTAGTGGGGGGAAAAGAGAGGAGATGAGCAAAGGATCAGGATAAAAGGACAGGAGATTGAGGAGGAAGAGAGGTGAAGTTAGGGATACCTGAGAGGGTTATGGATGGGTTAGGGGAGAGAAGAGGCTGAGGGAGGGAGGGAGGGAGGGAGGGAGGGAGGGAGGGAGGGGAGGGAGGGAGGGAGGGAGGGAGGGAGGGAGGGAGGGAGGGAGGGAGGGAGGGAGGGAGGGGAGCTGGACGGTAAAGAGGAGGATGGGGGACAAAGAGAAGAGGCGACAGACAGAACAGACAGAGGGAGAATTGGATGGATCAGATAAAGGGGGGAGGATATTAAATGAGCGAAGGAGACAATGAAGGAATGCGGAGGAGGAGGAGGGGGCGGAAAGCACGATGACAAGATAGATGAGAGAGGAAATGCAGAAAGAGAGAAAAGATAAAGCAGAGAGAGAAAGAAAAAGGGAGGGATTGAGTTTGCATTGAAAGAGAACGGGAAGAGGATAGCTAGAACGAGTGCGGTATGAGATGCGGCTGTGCCTTCGCCAGTTGTTTTGCCTAGCAACAGTGAAGTCATGTATGAGGGTGGATGAGTGTGGATGCAAATCTAGACTACCCTTGCTTCCATCAGCAATGCACATTTCTTAGCTGAGGATGATGATGTTAGTCATGATGATGAAGAAAGGTGGCAGCAGTCAGTGCAGTGGAAAGCGTGCTGATGGTTAGCGCATGGTGCTAGCTGAAAATAGTGATGTCATTGCTGCTCTGGCTCCAGCTGAAAGTAGGGCAGTCTGATCAGGAGTGTATGAGAGGGGAGGGGAGGGGGAGACAAGGCAGGGGAGGAGGAGTTGACCTACATACAGCTGTGCGACCTGAGGGGTGTGTGTGTGTGTTTGTAAGGAGATGGACCGCATGCAGAATGGGACAGACAACACAGCCTCATCAAGTGGTTAGCCAAAAATCGAAGAGGAGGAAGGTGAAACAGAAGTGGAGTAGAAAAGGCAGAATGAAACAGAGGAGAACAGAGGGGTGGAGGAGTGAAGGAGAGAGAGTGGAAATGTGTAGAGGATGGCGAGCAGATGGAGGGCAGGAATAGGAAAGAGCTTTTACCAAGAGAAAAACTCAGTTGTTGTTGGAAGGAGAAAGAGTGTGTGTGCGTGTGTGCAAGCATGCGTGTGTGTGCATGTGCGCGTGTGTATAGGGCACTGCTGATGAGGCTCATGTATACATGAGACGCCCACCTCTCTCTCCCTCCATCTGCTGCAGATAATTGCAGTGGGCTCCACAGTGTGTCTGCCGCAGTAAAGATGGGGTCTGCTTCCTTGTCAGAGAGAGAGGCAGAGAGAAAGATGGAGCGAGAGAGAGATGGAGGGAGGGAGAGAGAGAGAGAGGTGCTGGGGGAAGGGGGAGAAAGGGAAGGAAAAATAGTAGGGAGCGAGGGAGGGAAAGAGATAGAAAGAGAGAGGGGTGTCAAGAGAGGTAGAAAGCAAATGGCAGAGGACAGAGAGAGAGAGATGTAGGTAACGTTATCTTTGCAGAGAGGAGAGTGTTCTGGCTGGAGTGCCAGATTAAAACTGAGACATCCTGGCTTTAGTCCCTTTTTCCCTGTGCCACGCCTTAGAAACTATACTTCACAAGCCTCTCTCTCTCTCTCTCTCTCTCTCTCTCTCTCTCTCTCTCTCTCTCTCTCTCTCTCTCTCTCTCTCTCTCTCTCTATCTCTCTCTCTCTCTCTCTCTCTCTCTCTCTCTCTCTCTCTCTCTCTCTCTCTCTCTCTCTCTCTCTCTCTCTCTCTCTCTCTCTCTCTCTCTCTCTCTCTCTCTCTGGGAAGTGTTTTCAATGAGTGTTTTCAATGATAGGTCAATGGTGAGTCATTGTTGCAGTTTGGGAAGTAACTCTCATTTTCGTTTTCAGTTGCAAAACATTTTGCTATACATTGTGCCCTATTGAATACAACCCAGGATTGGGTGTCAAAGTGTAAATAGCTGTAGGCTAGTTTTGATTCACAGCTGATTTGTTGCATCACAGAGGGTATGTCTGTCTGTCTGTCGTCTGCATACTGAAGTCTTACACTTGCACTATACTGTAACTAACGCTGCTCTCTCTTGCTTTTTCTCTCCCTCCTCCCTCCTCTCCCCACATCCTTTTCCCTCGTCCTTCAATCCTGATTTTGACCTCCCTATTCTCTCTGCATCCCTCTGTTTCTATTTCCCCCTCCCCATCGACACGCTCCTCTTCCTCCCACAATGTGACCCCTCCTCGTTTTATCCTCTTTTACCTGTTCTCCCTTCCTCTCCTCTCTGGTCCCCTCCCTGTCCTCCCTTCCTCTCCTCTCTGGTCCCCTCCCTGTCCTCCTCCTCTTCCCAGCAGTAAGTACCGGCCTCCATCGGAGCAGCACAATGATAATTTCTCCCTGTCCACCATCGCTGAGGGCTCCCACCCAAATGTAAGGAAACTGTGCGACACCCCTCCTAACGTCCCTCATGCCCGTGCTTTGGCTTACTATGATAACATTATCTGTCAGGTAACGTGGTTCTCGTCTCTCTCTCACCTTTTCTTCCTTCCCTCCTCTGCATGGGCTTGAGCGTCACCTCTCCGGGGTACAAGGTGGGGTGTTACAGTGGGGTTCTTGTCTCTCGCTATGGGACAAGTCTACAGCCAGATAGGCAGACATAGTACTACACCCGGTTACTGAGGCAACACTGTTACCATGGCAACAATGTGGCTGTAAAGTCTCTACTGTGTATTGCCACACTGTCAGTTATTATTTTATTAGCTATTGATCCCACTTGAAGGTGACACACACACACACACACTGCAGATGTGAAAGATGGAGCAAGGAAATAAGTAGATCTTACCTATACATCTGCCTGACCCAATGGTGGGGTGTGGTCAGTTCTGCTCAAGCTAAGACTTGACCAAGACCAAGAGAGAACTCCCATAGCCCTCACTGTAACCCCCTCCACCCCATCTTTCCCTGATCTGCTCTCCCTTTGATCACCTGTGCATCGGTATGTCACTGCATGCCTGCTCTATCGCTCACATGGTGCCCCCCCCCCCGGTGGCCATGTCAGCCGCTGCAGCAGCCTGTCCGTCGCTCTGCCTCCGTGTCTCTGTCCGTCCGTTTCACTCGCTTATCCTGACTTGGGCTGGATTGGTGGGAAAGGTGAAGAAGGTCTCTTGATTGGTCGATAATGGGGATTTGGGGGGCGGGGAATCTGGGGGCAGAAAATGTATTTCATTTATGGGGTTATTATCAGGTTGATAGCGAATGGTGTGCGAGATGTGTGCAAGGTGGGCAGGGCTATTAAGTCAGGATAAACATCTGAGATGCAATGTCTCCCTGCTGCCTGTAGGTGGCGGGGGGGAGTATAGACCTAGATGCACAACTAACGGAAGCATGGGGTAGCATAGTTAGCATAGTGCTAACATGGTCATAGCAGCATGAGTAGAAGTAGTACTATGACATAAGATGTGGTGCCACATTCTAACAACTCATCAAATAGTTCAGGTCATCATACTTGGTATAACCACAAGCAAATTGCTTCACTTAGCTTTCTTTTGCTAGTTTTTTGTTTGTTTGTAGATGCAGCGTTATTCTTCCTTCTGGGTAATTGCGATAATGTTTCTGTAAATATAATATAGTGACAACTTGAGGGGCATCATATTGCAGTGCTTCATAACATGAGACAGTTAGCACAATCACCTAGCAGAACACTACTAACCTTAACCATAACCACAACCCAATAACATTCACAACCCAATACCATTTACAACCAAATAAAACACCATATAACACCCCAATCTTCCAGACATCCTCTAAGCTCTGAAACAGGATAGCTCTGCTCTTTGAGTCTCAGCCTGGGTTTGCAGCTTAGCTCTACAGCTCTAAGTCAATGTATTAGTACATCTCTCTATCCATAGGAGTCAATATAGAGCACCAGTATAGAATATCTGGAAAAAGGTCCATTAAAATACTATGTAGATTCATCTGCAGAGAACAGCCAACACCATAGAAAGCTCAGAATACATGAACTAATATTGTGACTAACCAATACCTCAAATCCCTCCGTCTAGTTCATGAACTAAAACCTCTGTGTTTCTATGTCAACACGGTACCCTCAGAAATATCTCATCCAACATTTACTATGGTAATGTCAAGGCCACAAAGCACCATAGTTACTGAGACGAATCCATCAGTGTCCTTATATGGGCAAGACAGTCTCTACCTCTCAATGTGAGCTGGGAATATCAGCGATCATCCTTAGGAAGTTCCCCTTACTAGGTCTTCTCTCTCTGCCACTTCCCTTCAGGTCTCCGTGGGCTCGAGTCGCTAGAAAAAAAAAAGCTGGAATAGGAAAAGCTCTAGAGAAGAGAGAGAGAGCGAGACAAGAGACAGCCGCTAGAGGAGATCAGGAGGCGGTAGCTCGCGATCTATCGAGTCGCTAGCTCTCTCTCTCTCTCTCTCTCTCTCTCTCTCTCTCTCTCTCTCTCTCTCTCTCTCTCTCTCTCTCTCTTCTTCTCTCTCTCTCTCTCTCTCTGTCTCCCTCTCTCTCACACTCTCTCTCTCTCTCTGTTTGAGGATGTTATGTATCTTTGAGGAGTATAACCCTCTCCCCCCCCCTCAGAAAACCATGAGCAGATACACCTGGGAGTGTAAGACCAAAGAGGAGCCCGACTGTAAGGTAAGATAAACCCCCTCAGATGGCCCGCCCCCCTCTCCCTTAAACGGCTCTCTCATTGTACTGTGACCCTGTCAGTCACCCTCTCTCAACTCAACGGACTAATCCACGGCCCCAAACTTGGCTAGTCAGAACCTAGTGCTGTTACTCCTAAGTGCTGATCTAAAGTCAGTTTATAAGTTAAGTTAGCCATTACCCCTTAATGGATCATTTCTGGATTGGAGTATATGCTGATTCTAGACATGATCCATATCTTTACATACTCTGGGCTCTTAAAATAAGAACTACGAAATAAACACAATTTAAAATATGAAATGTACAGTCTTTTATCTAGGTTAAATGGCACAGAGATAAACGTTGTAGCAGTCCAGTAGCAGTACGATTGTGTCCTTGTAGTGTCCTTCAGACAGGAGATATCGACCCTTCCCACAGGAGTTCTTAACAGAAGAGAAGACACTGCAGTAGACTGAAACCAGAGAAATCTTGCTAGACATAAACTCTCTCTCCAGATAAACACACGGTCAGAAATTGTACACACTCCAACATGCATAAAAACACTATAATATATACACAGATAATACAACTAGAACGTGAAATATTGTTCTAGGGAGAATATTTTCTTTATTTTGAGCATTACATGGACTGAGTACAGTGGATTGTATCCGTTTACTCGTTTACCCCTATCAACATTAATACCTTTCCTTTTATGGACCATGCTGGTTTACAGTATAGATTTAACTATGGCTTGTGTCAATTCCATTCTAACTCAGTCAGTTGACAAAATTAATTGAAAATGTAGATAAAGGTAATAAGTAAAAGTCTATATTTACAGTAATTAATACATGTATAAGTTCATGTCCTCAGTATTGATTGAATGAAAATGGAATTGATATTAAGTGATTATGAAAGGGTTACATTGACATGTCCTGATCATAGTGACATGTTCTTATAATACTGACATGTCCTTGTAATGTTGACATGCCAGTCCTGTGCTGTGGATTAAAGGCCGGGACGTACAGTCCCTATTGTCCAATCCTGCCCTGTAGGCTGTGCTTTGCTGTGCTGTGCTGAGCCATACTGTACTGTACCGTGCCAGTGAAGAGCATTGAGGCTCTCTATCTATCTGTAACAAATCGTTTGACTCAGTCCTGTCCCACCCTCTTCGTGTCCTTCCTCCACTACGTATACACAGATACACACACACGTTCTATACAAAGACGCAGATCCAGACACTCAGACCGGTGCAGATCCAGACACACTCACATCAACTCTGAACAGACACACACATACAGACATAGGCATAAAGCAGGAAGGATACAAAGATCTGTCCATGTTTCATCTTCATCTTCATCCCCCGTATATCTCTGTTCCAAAAACTCCCAACAAAGTCCCTCTCACCCTCTTTCCGCAATACAATGAAAAACAACAGCAAACAAACAAACAAACACATTTTCCAGTTTCACGCTGACGGAAGGAAAGATGGCCCCTATCCTGTAACCATGGAAGTGACGTATCCCCACGTCCTGCCCGAAGTTACTATCTAGACCATCAGCCAATGGGTAAATGCTCTCGCCATCCCGTTTGTGTGCCATTGAATAACAAGCATTCAGCTCTGTTTCGTAATGGCACAGCCCTCAGGGTCTGCAGTGTGTGTGTGTGCGCGCGTGCCTGTGTGTGTGTGTGTGTGTGTGTGTGTGTGTATGCATGTGTGTGTCTTTCCATCAGCCTGAGCACAGACAGACTTTTCTACCTCTACACAGCAGGGTCGATGAAGCTATGCAATATTAATGAGGCTATCAGGGTGGAAAAACAGGTTCAAATTAATGCCAATCCATTCTTTTTCCTGACCTTAATTAAATGCAGCCAAAAGGATGAATTGAAGTGAAACAGAGTTGTCTCCTAATGCATTGTTTTTTCAGCTCCAGCTGTACTGTAAGTATGTATGAAAGTGGATCCACAGACAATGTGTTTAATGTCAATTATGGCACGGCTCATTGTGTTTTAATTGGGACAGTAGCGAGGTGAGGGGGGCTGGATGAGTGATTGGGGGGGGGGGGGATTCTGGATTCTCTGGGGGTCTTGCATGTGGATGTGCATGCGCTTCCCGGTTGGCCTGGATGGGGTGCTTGTTGGTGGGTTATAAAGGATGGGAGGGGAGGGAGTCGCTCATACAGTTCTCCAATCACCTCTATGTCCCTTCAACCAAAACAAATGTGCAAAGCAAGCATGATGTTGAAACAATTGGGTAGCCACGGCCACTTGGGTCTTTTTGAAACGGTTAGCTTACTCACTGCTACATGCTTTTCCATCGACTGATAGTCAGGTAGTGTGAGGATAATATGGGATTTTGGGATATTTATATCCAAACAATATAATACATCGGATTACAGAGAGGGATGGAGGGGAGTTAGAGGCTCTAATATTTGGAGATGTTAGGATGGTATTTCAAATATTCTCATCTCTTTAGGGGGAATGAGAATATGCCATAGCAGTGGTCTGTCTAATAGAGGCTATAAATTGATATTTTCAGAGGTTGAAGGCCAGCTATTGGCTGATGCTGTGACGGTCCATATAAGAGGATGCAACAAAAGACCACATGGTAGACTAGAGGGAGGGTTTGGTTTATAACAGTTTTGGGGGGGTCTGACTGGGTAGGCCTAACTGTGTTTTCTCCTCCCTCCGTCCATCTGTCCGCCCGTCCCTGGCAGGATGATCCTAATGCCCCGAACAAGCTGGAGGACCCCGTCAAGGCCCCGGTGCCCAAGGAGGACGACTCCCTGAACATCCACAACTCCCTGACCCCCAAACACGAGAACCACAAGGTACTGGGCGAGGAGAACTCCTCGGAGGTAAACTCACTGCAGAACAACATGATGTAGAAGCCTGGTCGGGATGAGAGCTCCAGTCCTGCTCTCTATCCCACCCACCACGTCTACAACTGCTACCACCAGCCAACCACCGTCTACAACACGGCAACACTGCCACCAAGCGGCCCATGCCGCTGCAAAAAAAACACACCACCCCAGCTGAAACTCCTCCCCCACCTGCCACCGCCTATAGCGACCCCTTACGCCCAATCACGCCCCCCTGCCTCGCTGCCCTGCCCCTTTGTTGCTGTCACTCTGCTCCCCCTTACCCCCTGCCCGCACGCACATACACACACATGAACACACAAACAGACACACCAGAACACACAAACACACACACGCACATATACGTACATACACACACATACACTCACATTCCCCTGCCTGCATTGGTGTATTTTGTAAAAATAAAAAAATCATATGGAGTTTAAAAAAAGAAGTTAAACATTGTAAAAAATATAAAAGCTACTGAGAGGTTTCGATGTTTGTCTGACTAATTCATTGAGTATGTATAAATATATGAAAAAAATGCTTGGATTGATATAAAAGAAACACAATGTGTCTTTGTTTTCATTGATGTGATTTCTAATCCTGATGTACTTGTTTTATTTTGTACTTTTCTGGGAATACAGACTTCAAACAGAGAAAAAAATCAGACAGTTGTTGAAATAAACATTTTTAACATGACACCTTTGTCCCTGTGTTTTCCTGAACTATACTATCCCTTTCCCTCTCAAACTCTTGCATGGCTTATTACAGCTTGGTAGCCCCTTAGGTTGCACTCACACACACACACACACACACACACACACACACACACACACACACACACACACACACACACACACACCTGCAGCTTGCATGGATCCTGTAGTTCTCTCTCTCATAGAGCTGCAGCTAAAACACACAAAACGAAAACTCTTCTCTCACCACTCATGCCAGAAAGGGCCTTATTTAGAATGCCAAACACACACACTCACACACATTTTTCATACCGGCCTGCATTCTCAATGAGTCTCAAAGGAGGCCTCTCCGATGCCATGCCTTTGTCGGAGTTCAAAGTGTGATCATTGAGAGAGTTCTAGACTGATTGGACCGAGTCTGGTATTGTAGGGCCCTTCTCAGGCTGCGGGGTCTTTGGTTGGGTGGATGGGGGATGAAGGACCCCTTTCGCATCAATAGGGACAGAGAAATATTCAAACCACTACAGAGGAAAAGTTTGGCTATGGGAATAAACAGCAGGCAAGCAGCTACAACGACAGCAATTAACACATTTTCTCTTTATCTCTCTCAGTCTCTGTTATGTTGCTGGTATGCAAGAGAACACATAGCACTCATGGTTCAAAGGAGACGGCCTATTGGCTTTGCACCTTTCTCAGACAAAATCTTAACGGCTTTGCGCGCACACACACACACACACACACACACTGAAGAAGCTGAAACATTTTGTGTCCTTGGGATGGATAGAGACTATAAAATCAATCAACCTGCATGAGTTATACTGTAGCTCAACACTTACTCTATTCCAGTTTCAACTGTTCTGCCTGCGGTTATGGAACCCCTACCTGTCCCAGACCTGCTGTTTTCAACTCTTAATGATCGGCTATGAAAAGCCAACTGAGATTTATTCCTGATTATTATTTGACCATGCTTGTCACTTATGAACATTTTTGAACATCTTGGCATGGTTCTGTTATAATCTTCACATGGCACAGCCAGAAGAGGACTGGCCACCCCTCATAGCCTGGTTCCTTCCTAGGTTTCTTCAGGTTTTCGCCTTTCTAGGGAGTTTTTCCTAGCCAAACCGTGCTTCTACACCTGCATTACTAGCTGTTTGGGGTTTTAGGCTGGGTTTCTGTACAGCACTTCGAGATATTAGCTGATGTAAGAAGGGCTATATAAAATAAAATTGATTGATTGATTGATTACTCCTCAATTGTGCCTGGGTTCGAGCCTTGGTGTGAGACCAATCAGGAGAAAGTGGTACTTGCTAAGTAAGCAGCGTGACGTCCGTTACATTAGGGATTGCTCTTTGGCATTTTAGCAGACCGAAGAACTCTCCAATGAATCTGTTTTGTTTCCTCATCTCTTTCATTTCTGCTTCATCTACAATCAACACCAATGACTGTATTGACACTTCAGGGCTCAACCAGAAAGCCTCCCTTCCCTGGGGGCCTCTCTGGGTTTGACTGTGTGTGTGTTTCTGTATGCATGTGTGTGTGTGTGCGCGTGTGTGTATGAGTGAGTGGGTGTGCGTGCATGCGTGTTCAGGCTTGTCTCTGGGAAGAGAGAGCACAGTGTCCATCACACCACAGGACAAGAGGTGATGGTGTGGTTGAGAGAGCTGGGCACTGAGATAGACATCTATCTCTATTCCTCTAAAACCCGGTCGGCCTTTCTAAACATATTTTCTACACCCCCCTCACCCCTCCCTCTTTCCCTTTTGTATATCTATTTTTCTGGCATCAACCTCTCCCCCTCTCTTTCTGGCTTATTCCCCCTCTCTCTAGAAAATGTTTCACATCGTTCCACCAGTCCTCTCTCTCCTCTATCTCTCGCTCCTCTCCTATCGCTCCTCTCCTCCCTGTTGCTGGAGGGTCTTTACAAATGCAGCCTCAGACAGAGGGGGCGCCGTTGCCATGGAAACCAATTATGTCGCTACGGTCCAAGCTTGAGAGGACCAACTCAATGACCTCACCATTCTCTTTATTCCTTTCTCTCTTTCTTTCTCTCTCTCTCTCTCACACACACACGACTACGCACACACACCCGATTAGAACAGACTGTGTGGCGTTGCACTGAGACTCAGAAAATGATGTATAATAGATATATAAAATCAAGAATGCATTATGCAGATTTAATGTCATCTAGGAAAACATTTTGAAATGTTGGCATTAAATACACTCTGATTCCACATAACCCCCTTATATTACTCCCTCTATCTCTTTAGCTGACCTAAATACCACTTCATGTTCTTATAGCGTTTTTACAATGTTCTGACGATGAATGCACTCCTGCTCACCTTTCACCAAATAATTTATCTGGAGAAGAGAGAGGAAGGGCACACTTCAGGTAGGGAGAGAGGGGGCAGGGGGGAGAGAGGGGTCAGGGGGGGAGAGAGGGGGCAGGGGGGGAGAGAGGGGGCAGGGGGGAGAGAGGGGGGGGGAGAGGGGGGCAGGGGGGAGAGAGGGGGCAGGGGGGAAGAGAGGGCACAAAGAGGGCGTATCAAGATTTTTCTCTGCCTCCCTAAGCCTGCTGGGACGTTGGATTCATCCGCACACTGCCATTGGCTGAGGATGTGGTGGAACGATGGTGTGTGAATTCCACAGGGAGCCTCAGGATTGGCCAACGCAAACACATATACACACAGACAAACATGCATGCCCACACGCGCAGTCACGAGTGTGCGCGCGCACACACACACATACGAAAGCACACAAAATTGCACAGAGTCAGAGTATACACAAACACACAGACTTGCATAAAAGCTCACAGAGCAGTTTGGGAAGCAAGTATTGAAGCTTAAAGGCAGGGTGTGGGTGGGTGAGTTAAGTCTGATTGAACCATTTTGGCATTACTCTGGTTTATTAATGAGGATCTCTGGAATGCAGATGATCATCAGAGAAGCCTTACTGATGGAAATGTGGCCATACATTACCACACTGAGGCCAAATCCTACTCCCCCTTTTCCTCAAAGAAAGGAGGGAGGGAAAAATATAAAATGATTCGCACCACAGAGTTTGGCCTTTCTCTGATGTGTTATCCTTTGTAGATCAATGTACGGCTGCAGTGGAGGTTGGGGGTAGAAGGAAAGGGTAGATGTAAAGAGCTGGATGGTACAGGTAACTGCTAAAATAAAGGAAACACTTGAGTAAATGAGGGATACAAAGTATATTGAAAGCAGGTGCTTCCACACAGGTGTAGTTCCTGAGTTAATTAAGCAATTAACATCCCATCATGCTTAGGGTCATGTATAAAAATGCTGGGCAGTCCATGAGCATGAAAACGATGTAAACCATATGCCATGGCCGTCTCAGTCACCAGATCTCAACCCAATTGTACACTTATGGGAGATTCTGGAGCGGCGCCTGAGACAGCGTTTTCCACCACCATCAATAAAACACCAAATTATGTAATTTATCGTGGAAGAATGGTGTTGCATCCCTCCAATAGAGTTCCAGACACTTGTAGAATATATGCCAAGGTGCATTGAAGCTGTTCTGGCTTGTGGTGGCTCAACACCCTATTAAGACACTTTATGTTGGTGTTTCCTTTATTTTGGCAGTTACCTCCTATATTTAAATGCATCCAATTCTGTAGAAAACCGTTTTAGGTAGAAGTAACCACACAGATGCGTGTCTATGATGTGCGTGTGTGTGTGTGTGTGTGTGTGTGTGTGTGTGTGTGTGTGTGTGTGTAGGGTTGGATACGTTACTTTCTAAATGTAATCTGTTACAGTTACTAGTTACCTCCTGTCCAGAATTGTAATCAGTAACATAACTTTGGGATTACGCAAACTCAGTATCGTAATCTGATTACTTTCAGTTACTTTTGTATTACTTTCCCTTTAAGTGGCATTAGAAGAGACTAAAATGATCCATCAAACGCATTTGGTGTGTCATCATAGTGGTCTCTGACTTTTGTTCAGACTTGCTCAGGTGATACAAACTTAAACTTGCGCCTTTTTTACAATCCTGAATGGAAAGTAATTGAGAAAACAGAAAGGTGTCATTATGTATTTTTTTTGCAAACATCCTTTCTGAATTTAAAGCAATCCAAGAAGTAATAATCAAGTTTTTCAAAAGTATCTGTAATCTGAGTGCAATATTTTTGCTGGCAACGTAATTGATTACAGTTATAGTTTTTATTTAATGAGTTTACATGTACTGATTACATGTCATCAGTTACTCCCCAACCCTGTACTGTGTGTGTGTGTGTGTGTGTCTGTGCGTGTGTTCTTACAGGGCGAGGTGACCATCGAGATGGAGCTCTACCGTCCCAAAAACGCCAAGCCGAGACCCCCTTGCAGTCCCCTGATCCACTATGACGTGTACCTCTACAAGGTGCCCAAAGCCCTGCCCAAAGCTCCTGTTGTCAACCGGATAGGGGCCAGGCCCAGGGGTAAGGTACTGAGGTGGGAGGATGACATGTACCCCCCTTCGCACCCCTGTCCTGTGTACAGCCCTCTTAGTACACGGTCCTTACCGACCATCGACCCCAGGGGTTATAGGGCACGACCACAGACAGCCAAGGTGTGCACTCCCTAAATCCTGGGTCAAACATTGCCACACCTCTATCTATCACTGTACAGGAGTACACTGACATACAGTATACACACTGAAACAGAGTGCTGCGATGTACTGGAAATGGAGACTGAAAGACTGTACTGACAAACAATGAAATGTACTCATATGGACAGAGTCATACTGAACGAGTTGCAAAACATAAAAGGCGGATTCTTTCAGAACTGTGCAGCTGAGATATTATTCAAAAATCATGGTCTGTATTTCAATAGTCTAAAATGGCTTTCTCATCTGTTCTCCTCTCCTTCATCTATTGCATTGATCTGGCAGAGTAAGCTATTTCAGACCATTAAGGTTACTGGTCGCTGTGATTTCAAACTACCTCACATCATCTGGTGTATACTGTAATTAGTTACATAACAGTGGTCGTAAATGTGCTACAAACTTGAACACTGGCAAATGAATGTGACACAACTCAAGTGTGAAGTCTCAGACACATTGAGGATACTTGATTTTAAGCAGCTACCATTGAACATTTTCAAAGGACAAAAATGCTCATATTTCACCAAGGATCTATTGAACTGTGAAATTATACTCAATGCTTATATATTTTTTTATATAAACAAAATAATTGTTTCTGTACAATAAAGTCAAACAATTGCTCTGTTAACATGAACTGTTTCTTGTGGGTTCCCGTGTGGCTATCTAAAGATTACTTTTCTATTCATAACCACAGGACCACAGAATGAAGACCTACGGCATGGGAAGCATATGGAGCAGGGGATCACAGTTTCCCTGCTTCTGTCAGTTCATACTGTCTGTACTTGTGTCACTAATGGATAAGGCACTGGCCTTCTAAGCCCTTGATTGTGGGTTTGAGTCCCATCTTGGTGGTTGGTAGCAGAGCGGCGCAGTGGAAGCGCACTGGGCCCATAACCCAGAGGTCGATGGATCGAAACCTTCCTCCGCTATGGCAATTTAGCCTCAGCTACTCCATATAAGTCAATAAGCTGGTATATTTATTACAATTACACATCCTGCTGGCCTCATATATGCTTCCATCCTCCACATGTCTTAGGAAGCAGAGTGGCGCAGCGCAAGTGTGCTGGGCCCATAACCCAGAGGTCGATGGATCGAAGCCATTCGTCTTTTAGCATAAAGGACATGAAAAAATACATTTCATGGGCGGATCTCAGTCCCTTCCATGCTGACGTTCCCACAAGCTTCTTACTTCTGTGAGGTCATACAGTCTGTCCCCATGTCACCAAGCCCCAGTGGCCGAATGGCACTGGCCCCCTAAGCCAGGGATTATGGGTTTGAGTCCTTCCGACTCTGTTGGAGAGAATCAGCTTGAGCAAAGTGAGTTGTAGAATCACTGACATACAAATAGTATTCCCTACCAAATAATAGGTTTTGTACGACCAAGATTCACAGAGCTCAGCCTCCCCTGGCTCAGAGGGGCATACTACAAAGCAAGATCAATCAGTTAATCAGCTACTGTATCTTGCATAAATATTCTGACATAACTTTTTATTTTTAAGAAAGATAAGCTTGTAATTAGCATGATGTAGTTGACTCAACAACCAAAAACACATACAGTATCTAAGTTTCCTTTTCTTAATGAACCAGAAAATTTGTGGTTATTTCTGGTTATTTATCTTTAGTTAGCAGCATCAATTAGTTAGCCAGCTTTGTAGTATACCCCTCAGGTGATCGCCCCACCAAACACACATGCACACAACCAGAGATTGATTGATTGGAGACAACTTGAGTCAATTACAGAACATTTCCTAGGATTTTCTACATGCAGCGACACTAGCGGGATAAAGCTGGAAATACCGGTAAAAGCACACTTTATTTGGCCCTGGAGGTCGCCCCCATAGAATTAGGAATTAGAATACTAGAATGGACATGAACCTTCTTATGATAGGATAAAGGTCAGCCATTTTGGTCAGGGACTTGGTCAACCATGGTTTGCAGGATTATGCCTCTACTGCCATTCATTCCAATTAGACTGGTTTGGATTTCTCCCTGACCAATATGGCTGCCATTTTCACCCCATTCTGGAACTTCAAGGGTTTATGACACAGCCCATCTAGTAATTGCATTTATGTAATCAAAACAAGCACATAAAGCACATAAAGGCTTCATAATTCATAAAGGTCATGTTAACTGACTGATATGATCTCATAGAACAAAACGTATAAGATCTCCTAAACCTGTGTTAACCTCAGACCTTATTTTCACTGTTTATCCCAAAACCCCATTCTTTCCGCATTAATTCCCCCCATAGGAATGGCTGAACAAACCAGAGGTATGGCTTGTTAGTGGTTGTTAAAATAACAAGCACCATGAGAGCTTTTGTCCCAAATCCATTATGGTGTTTTAGGTGCCAAGCTTATGGTCATATTGTAGCAGTATGTAGTAGGGAGATTCCTAGATGTGAGAAGTGTGCAGGAGGGCATGAGACAAAGGAATATGTAGTTGCACCCTGGTCTCATATACTAGACGTTACATAGTAAATGTAAATACACACACTCAAATTATGAAATGTTATGTTACGTTTGGTATGGTTACATAAGACAGATTGTTACTTAAGGCAAAAATAAAAGTAGGGTGGTTGGTAGGGGTGGATGGGTAGGTGTATAACGCAAACGTCTAACAACCTAAAGGTTGCGAGTTTGAAACTCATCACGGACAACTTTTCAACTACCTTTACTACTTTGCAACAACTTAGCATGTTAGCTAACCCTTCCCCTAACCCTAACCTTAACCCTTTTAGCTAACCCTTCCCCTAACCCTAACCTTAACCCTAACCCCTAACCCCTAGCCTAGCTAACGTTAGCACCTAGCTAGAATTCGTAATATATAATACGAATTGTAATTCGTTGCATATCATATGAAATGGGTAATGGACATCCACAAATTAATCCACACCATACAAAACGTAACATAGAATACTAAATGGAAATTTTCTGAATTCTGTACAGAATAATACAAAACGCTCTGAGACCAGGTTGCAGCATCGGTGTGAAAAGTTGGGTGTGTAGGTAGGAGTACCCATTGTGCTAAAGATCAGAAGTGTCCGGTGATAGAAAGGCAGGTTGAGGTTGCCAGGATCAGAGTAGTACAGAAGGTGTGGTATGCTGAGGCAGTGAAGAGAGTAGTAGAGGAAGATGGGTCCAGGGCGAGGGATCCTAAGAGTAAGTAGGCTGAGGCCAATAGAGAGTGATAGGAATAGCATGCGCTTCAGTAAGGTTGATAGTCATGGTTATCAACTTTACTGCAGAAATGGAATGTAAATCACAGAAAATATACTGAACAAAAATATAAATGCAACATGCAACAATTTGATTGATTTTACTGATTTACAGTTAATATGAGAAAATCAGTCAATTGAAATAAATTAATTAGGCACACACTGGGAATACATGACTGGGAATACAGATATGCATATGTTGGTCACAGATACCTTTGAAAAATGGGCCTCAAAATGGGCCTCAGGATCTCGTCATGGTGTTTTTGTGCATTCAAATTGCCATCGATAAAATGCAATTGTGTTTGATGTCCGTAGCTTATGCCTGCCCATACCATGACCCCACCGCCACCATGGGGCACTCTGTTCCCAATTCTGACATCAGCAAACCGCTCGACCACACGATGCCATACATGTGGTTGCGGTTGTGAGGCCGGTTGGACATACTGCCAAATTCTCTAAAACGACGTTGGAGGCGGCGTATGGTAGAGAAATGAACATTCAATTCTCTGGCAAAAGCTCTGGTGGACATTCCTGCAGTCAGCATGCCAATTGCACGCTGCCTCATAACTTGAGACATCTGTGGCATTGTGTTGTGTGACAAAACTGCACATTTTAGCATGGCCTTTTATTGTCCCCCGCACAAGGTGCACCTGTGTAATGATCATGCTGTTTAATCAGCTTCTTGATATGCCACACCTGTCAGGTGGATGGATTATTTTGGCAAGGAGAAATGCACAATAACAGGGATGTAAACAAATTTGCGCAAAATTTGCATATGGACAATTTATGTGATCTTTAATTGCAGCTCATGAAACATGGGGCCAAAACTTTACATGTTGCATTTATATTTTTGTTCAAATCAAATCAAATCAAATTGTATTTGTCACATACACGTATTTAGCAGATGTTGTAGCGGGTGTAGCGAAATGCTTGTGCTTCTAGCTCCGACAGTGCAGTAATATCTAACAATTTCACAACATATACCCAATACACACAAAACGGGATTTAAGAATATATACATATATGGACAAGCAATGACAGAGTGGCATGGACTAAGATACAGTAGAATATTATAGAATAGAATGCAGTATATACATATGAGATGAGTAGTGCAAGATATGTAAACATTATTAAAGTGACTAGTGTTCCATTTCTTAAAGTGGCCAGTGATTTCAATAGGCAGCAGCAGCCTCTAATGTGCTAGTGATGGCTATTTAACAGTCTGATGGCCTTGAGATAGAAGCTGTTTTTCATTCTCTCGGTCCCAGCTTTGATGCACCTGTACTGACCTCGCCTTCTGGATGATAGCGGGGTGAACAGGCAGTGGCTCGGGTGTTTGATGTCCTTGATGATCTTTTTGGCCTTCCTGTGACATCGGGTGTTGTATGTCTTGGAGGGCGGGTAGTTTGTCCCCGGTAATGCGTTCGGCAGACCGCACCACCCTCTGGAGAGCCCTGCGGTTGTGGGCGGTGCAGTTGCCATACCAGGCGGTGATACAGCCCAACAGGATGCTCAGTATAGATGTTATGGTGGCAGCTGCAGAGAAGTACTTGGGTGTATGAGATTTTACTGCAGAAGAGGTAAGGTGTGTTAAACGATGCTGTCCCATCCTCCCAGGCTGCTGGCCTGGTGTAGGATCAGATAAAGCCAAGTAGTGGACAAGTGGTGAGGTTTTAATCGGTGTAGGGTCCTTTTCCCTTCCTTTTTTTGTGCCACAAAGTGTAATGAATTCACTCTCCAGAACAGTAGGCGGAAACACAGGGCTAGATAAGAGGATTTGATGAATAGGGACGCCGTGACCTGCGTCACACTCCAGTACAGTGGTGGTGTCTGCACCTCTCGGTTGCCATCCGCCAATACAAATTTAAAGAAGAAGAAGAATAACAAGCACATGTCACGTGCATGGAGCAAATGCATCAAAATCCCCTGAAAATTGAAGATGGGGTGTCGAAGAGGATTGGTGTCAAATGCAAACAGAGTGAGCCGTGCACCAGACTGAGTTCTGGAGGTGAAACGGAAATGAATGACGGCGAGTTAAGTGAGGTGGAAGGTGTAGTGAAGAGCTCGGAACTTGAGCCTGGCATCAATGGACATGATAAAGAAGAATCTGGTCCATTAGGAGTGAAATTTTTGGAGAAAGTGGATCCTTGCCTTTTGGCGGATCCATTTGTGGTTTCAGGGTGGGTGGGAAAGGAGGTGGGAGCAGTTGAATCAGTGAAGGTAACCTGTAGTGGACTTGTGACAGGTGCTCCGTGTCATGCAACTTGGGTCAAGATCTGCTTCTTGCTTTGCTCTTAGGAACAGGGCACCATTGAAAGGAGTGATTTCTGGGGTAGCGTTAAGTGTGGAGGTGGAGCAATTGAAGTTGAAGATTCCTGGTGTTTGTGATGCCCGCCGTGTGGTGCGACGCAGACACAGTGGTGAGCATGGTGAAACAGAGGAGTCACTGTCTTTTTGAGTTTTTAGTCAGAGTCTTTACCCGATAAACTCATGTTAGGAAATATCAGTTATGTTGTTAGAGTTTTTGTACCGAATCCACTGCGCTGTTTCAGGTGCACCGTTTATGGTCATGTCGCAGCAGTTAGTAGAAGGGAGATTCCAAGATGTGGGAAGTGTGCAGGAGGGCATGGGATAGAGGATTGTGTAGTTTTGGTGGATAAAGTTGTGTGTGTCAACTGTAGGGGTGCCATGTTGCTGGGGATCGGAAGTGTCAGGTGTGAGAGAGGCAGGTTGAGTTGGCTAGAGTCAGAGTAGTGTAGAAGGTGTCGTATGCTGAGGCAGTGAAGAAAGTAGAGGAGGATGGGTCAAGGGTGAGGGATCCTGAGAGGATACCTGTGAGTAGTAGATCTGTGCCAGCACAGAGGGATAGGCCAACGAGTGACATATGCTTCAGTAAGGTTGGCTTCTTAACGTTCATAGCAATGGTTATCAACTGTACCGCAAAAATAGAACGTAAATCACAGAAAATAGATGTTGTAGTGGCAGCTGCAGAGAAGTATTTGGGCATACATGATTTGACTTCAGAAGAGTTACAGGGTGTGTTGAGTGGTGGTGTCCCGTCCTCCCAGGCCATTGGCATGGTGCAGGAGCAGATAGGGTCAAAGTAGTGGAATGGGGTAGGGGGATTTTAATAAGCATGTGGTTAGTTGGAAGTGTGTTTTTTAAAATAATTATTTTAAATGTTATTTTTATTTATTTATTTTTTGGTTTTCCTTTTCCCTTTTTCCCATTTCGTATCACAAAGTATAATGGATTTATATTATAGTCCAGTTGGGGTCGGTAATGCAACATATTGGATGCCAACCGCAGTTCAACTCCAAAGAAGAAGAAGAGCACGTCACAACACGTTCCACAAAATTTCGAAACGCGTTTGACATACTCAGATTGTCCCTCTCTTCTTGCAGTATAAACTACGGACCCCCACCCATGCTTCTTTTTCACAACAAACATTCTGAAAATGAAATAGCGATGAATGCGGAAAATTATGGACAAAAAAGTACTTTGAGCTGTTGTGATTTGCCCTGGTTAACGCTAGAAATCGTGTCAACAATCTAGCCAACTTCATAGCCTCCCCCGACAGTCTGCACTAGCTGTAGCTAGCTAAATGTATTTTCCTGGGAGTGTTAAGCTTTCATATATACAGTCATTGGTTAAGATAGCTAGCTAGTTATTAATGAAGTAATTTAGCTCAATCGATGTTAGTTTTTATCTAGCTAACTAGGTAACTAGCTATAAGATAGCAACTCACCAGAAGACATCCCAATGATTAGTATGAGATAAGTCTTCATCCCTTCTCAAGATGTTTGCAGAGCTCAACAGTATTCTCAATACCAGTCCCGACAGCTTCAAGCAGGTAACCCTAACCTCACCCCTAACCATAACCAATTTCAATCCCTATACCTAATCCTAACCTTTGTGGATTGATGTCTGCAGGGAGAGTTTATCTTGGTGTCTGACAGACACACAGACGCGTCCTTCCTCATTCACCATTTCCTCTCCTTTTATTTACGAGGTGAGGCTCTATGTGCGTGATGTCCAGTTGACTGATACTTGTCCATAACACTGTGCCCTGTATTACTGATGTTCACGTTGTTGTTGACTGTTGTGAGGTGAAAAACAATGATAGTCAGTAATAGAGGGAACATATGGGGCCAAGTTATGCACTGCTTTGATGTACTCTCATAAGTGGTAAAAAATTAAATCTGGTGAGGCCAGACCTGCTCAGAAGTTTGTGTGTGTGATTTACAGCGGGCTGTAAGGTGTGTTTCCTGGGTCTTGTGCAGTCCTTCAGTCACTACAGTGCAATCAGTCAACGTTTGGTGAGTATACTTATCCTCCAAAACGCTGGGTTAAACTTTCCCCCAGCCACTCTTATACATACTGTGCAAGTCAATATGTGTCTTTACAGTTGTGTATGATTTGCTGTTGCTTGGTGGAGATGTATTAACTACATTTTGTATGGGTTCTTTCTGTGTTACATGTTAATCAGGGTGTGAGTTTGACCCAGGCTAGGGAGAAAGGGCAGCTGGTGTTCTTAGAGGGACTGAAGGAATCCTTGGGGGTACTGCTTCAGAGGGAGGCCAGTAAAGGAACCCGAGCAGTGGACTTCCTCAGGTACCTGTCTGTAGCGTTGTTTTCTCTGACTCTGATTAAGCCTACTCCTGGACTAAAAAGCATGTTCGAGTGGCGCAGTGGTCTAAGGCACTGCATCGCAGTGCTAACTGTGCCACTAGAGATCCTGGTTCGAATCCAGGCTCTGTCGTAGCCGGCCGCGACCGGGAGACCCATGGGGCGGCGCACAATTGGCCCAGCGTCGTCCAGGGTAGGGGAGGGAATGGCCGGCAGGGATGTAGCTCAGTTGGTAGAGCATGGCGTTTGCAACGCCAGGGTTGTGGGTTCGTTTCCCACGGGGGGCCAGTATGAAAAAAATAAAAATAATGTATGCATTCACTAACTGTAAGTCTCTCTGGATAAGAGCGTCTGCTAAATGACTAAAATGTAAAATGTAATTCAGTGCAGAAGCTCCATTGAAAGTGCTTTTTGGTCCTGGAATATCGAAGACTTTATCTGGTTCCGGGAATCCAACCTGTATTGTTTGACACAGCCACTCATACACCTTTTCTCTGATGTAACCAAAGCAGTTGATGATAATATGAATCTGAAAATATCTCTTCCCCCTTCATTTATCTCCCCCTCTGTCCCCTTTCTTTCTTTGTCTCTTTCTCCCTGTCTCTCTGTTCCCCTCCACCTCTCCACAGAGATCCCAGTTCTGGCCTGCATGGTCTATATGACTTTGTGCGGGACAACGTAAGGGGGGCTGTGGGGGGAGGTGGTGGTGAGGAGTGGGGTTCCCCTGTGCTCCTGGTGGATGACCTCAGTGTGGTCCTGAGTCTGGGGGTCAGTGTTGGAGCGGCGCTGGACTTCAGTCATTACTGCAGAGCCACTGTCTGCTCCGAGCTGCAGGTCAGATAATACAGTATATCACATTTCACATTTACATTTTAGTCATTTAGCAGACGCTCTTATCCAGAGCAACTTACAGGTAGTGCATTTATCTTAAGATAGCTAGGTGGGACAACCACATTACAGTCATAGTAAGTAAATTTTTCCTCAAAGTAGCTACCAGCAAAGTCAGAGCTAGTAAGGGGAGAAAAAAGTCAAGTGCGAGTGTTAGTTCACAAAATTATGTGGGATGATTTAAGATACTCTTTGAAGAGGTAGGGTTTTAGATGTTTTCAGAAGATGGGAAGGGACTCTGCTGTCCTAGCATCAGGGGGAAGCTGGTTCCACCATTGGGGTGCCAGGACAGAGAACAGCTTGGACTGGGCTGAGCGGGAGTTGCTCTCCCGTAGGGGTGGGAGGGCCAAGAGACCAGAGGAGGCAGAACGGAGTGCTCGGGTTGGAGTGTAGGGTTTGAGCATAGCCTGAAGGTAGAGAGGGGCAGTTCCTCTTGCTGCTCTGTAGGCAAGTACCATGATTTTGTAGTGGATGCGAGCTTTGACTGGAAGCCAGTGGAGTGTGCGGAGGAGCGGTGTGACATGGGAGGCGCACGGTATCACAAGCTCACTGTCTCTCCATCGTCTGACTCTGTTCAAATAATCACACACATTCCTCCTCTATATCTACTTTTCCTTTTCTCTTTGATCTGCAGGGCAGCATGGTGATGTTAGTGCGATGTGAGGCGGAAGAGGAGGAGGAGAGTGATGACGATGGCTCAGAGCGGCTCCTGAGGGGCCTTACACACCAGTGCAGCCTCACACTCCAAGTACAGGGTCTCCCCACCGGCTACTGCAGGGACATCCACGGACAAGTCAGATGGATTACATTATTTGTGTGTGTGAGAGTGAGAAAAAGAGAGAGAAAGAGATTGAGTGTTATGTGCAGTAGAAAACTGTTAAACTGCATTAAGCTAAACCGTACTGTGTGTGTTTCAGGTGGAAGTGTGCTGGCGAGGACAATGTGACAGGCAGCAGACCCAGAAGAAACTCTTCCAGTACAAGGTCCACGACAAGGGGGCTTCCTTTTTCGCCAGGGGGACGTCCAGTGCAGTCCTTTAACCCCTCAATGGATCCCTTCTGCCTCCCTTCCCAGTGTCGATCCCCAGTCCCTTACCTCTTTCAGTCACATGGCTCCCTGGGCTCAACCATAGAGAATGATAGATGCCTGTAGTGGCCAAAAGGCCGTATTAGCATGGGCAGCTATTGGGCCATTGGGCTTCCACCATTTTAAAGTAGTCAACCTCATGAGACTTCCAACTTCATTGGCTGATCGCGCCTGGTGACCCTGTTGGAGTCATGTCCAACCGGGTTATCAGGAGGAATCAGCCAATCATGAAGAAGAAAATTGACTACTTCAAAATGGAGATTGCCTCAATGGCGCTGCCTATGCTGTCACAGATGTTATTTTGGCACAGATACAAAGATGAGTCCTCTATCTATCTCTATGGGCTCAACACACAGGCCAGGAGGTTTGCAATTTAGGACAACAAAGATGCTGGATTATGGTCATGATCATGAAACAGGTTGGGATCAGTTTTGAACTGGAGATGTGGTATTGAATTGAACATTGGATTTCCGCTTTAGAACCAACCGGGCACATGCATTGCAAAGCTGACATAGGAAGCCTGAGTGAATAGGTAATTTCTCAAGCGACATGGGAACTGACCTGACTAGGTTGCACTTGTTATACATAAAAAAAAACAATAAACAGCATATTTAAGAGATAACAAATACCAGTGTATGCGTTGTTGGTCATGAAGATAAAATACTGTGTGATTTGGTATATATTAGGATCCCCATTAGCTGTTGAAAAAGCAGCAGCTACTCTTCCTGGGGTCCACACAAAACATGAAACATGACATAATACAGAACATTAATAGACAAGAACAGCTAAAGGACAGAACTACATACATTTTTCTTTAAAGGCACAGGTAGCCTACATATCAATACATATACACAAACTATCTAGGTCAAATAGGGGAGAGGCATTGTGCTGTGAGGTATTGCTTTATCTGTTTTTTGAAACCAGGTTTGCTGTTTATTTGAGCTATATGAGATGGAATGGAGTTCCATGCAATAATGGCTCTATATAATACTGTACGCTTTCTTGAATTTGTTCTGGATTTGGGGACTGTGAAAAGACGTGTGTGTGTCAGAGCTGTGTTTAAGTTGACTGCAAACAATAAGTAAAACGCGTTTTCAATAATATCCAGCGGGTGTCGCCATAGCCACATGCTTTGCTGTCTTGGATGAGGTAAAGGGTGAGAGGTCGAAGTGGACAATTCACGCTGCTCTGTTGATACAGTCAGTTTTTCCAGTTAGCTAGCTAAATCCTAGCTACTATAATAAGGAGGTTAAGACGGTACACGACTAGCTCCTGGATAGCAGGACCAGCACTCTCGACGAAGACACGAGAAAGTTATTCAGCCAGGCAAGTCAAGTGTAACGTAGCTAGCTAGTCAACTAGCTAACGTTAGCTTTGGTGTGTGTTAACTTAGGTAGCTCATTGACTCGATTAGCTAGCAAAACGGCCCAAATTAATCTTTGTTAAGCAAGCTAGCTAGCTAATGAAGTTAGACGGGTAGAACCTAGGTTGAAGATATATTTTTTTCGACCTAGGGTAGAACTTCTCTGGGTTTGGCGGGGGGATGAACACTGAACGCGGGACTCGCGATGAGGTGTTCTTTGGTGGTAGCAGTTAGCTAGCCAGCCAAGATAGCTTAACTGTTAGCTATTGACAGACGATGTCACTGGCATCACTCGGCAAATCGCTAGCTAATGTGATTAGCTTATTGCTAGCTGCCTGCCATACTATCAGCGTAAGGTGAACAACCCTGCCTTGCTGTCATGGATACGTCGCTGGTGTTGGTTGGCATCAGACAGACAGCAATGTTAGCAAACATTTACCATATCTGTTAACAGTAGAAGCTAGCTAACGTTCGCATCATCCGTTATCTAACGACGTTACGCTTGAGTCAAGCGTTGAAGCTGATCTTACAACAATGTTCCATTTTGCAGAATTATGGATAAAAATTGTTTCTTGTCGTAAGTCGCTCTGGATAAGAGCGTCTGCTAAATGACTAAAATGTAAATGTAAATGTAGTTGTATATTGTAATACGAAGGAAGTACATAGCTACTAGCTGGTGGCTAGGTAATGGAATTCAAATTAAGTTGCCCTGTATTCGCTAACGTTAGCTAGCTAAGTAGCACCTGTTAAAGCTAACGCTACTGGTGACTCGTTTGACAGCCGACAGCTCGCCCTCAGGAGGCCTGTGTGTGAAGTTTGTTCGCATGGCAGAAAACGAACACCATTTATTCACCCATCTTATTAAATACCATTAATCTAAGCATTGGGCAAACTTTTACGCAATTCATTATTGATTTGAATGAGATCACGTGTAGGGATATTTATTGCGTTGCATGCAACTGTGTTGCATCACAATCACCACCCTTACCTACTGTGTGCACAGACGAGGCCGGTTGACAGTGTTACTGAATTCTGTATTAGCAGTAATAACTATAATTGGTAACAAATTGTGAAATTAAACATTTAGTAGCAGTCAAGCTTCTTGCATACTAAAATGCATAATTAAGGAGGCAAAACGTGATTTTGTTCACAATGGAAATCAGTTTTTAATAGGCATATTGCAAAAACATTTTAAAAGAGAAAGTGATAAATCCGTCGATGCAGTAATAGATGGAAAATGCAAAGAACCCCTCTTTCCCTTTTCTGCCCAACATATGCACCGGTATGAGCATAGTGGGCAATATGAGGTGGACACTGGCCATCAACTTTTTTTCTGTCTGAGGAATTTATCTTGTTACAGAGCTGCACCACACCAGTTGGTTAACGTTGACCAAATGCAATTTGATTGGTCAACAGCTACACATTAAGTAACTGTGTATTTGTACCTTTCTGTCGCTAAAATTGCTTTGACATTGAAAACGGTCTGTTTTGTAGGCCCAAACTTGTGTGCTCTGTCACCTCTGGCTGCATCGCAAATGGCCCAACAAAATACTTTTAGGGGCTAGTCAGCCCTCCCCGTGTTGAGGTGCCAAAACTTGTTAAACTTGTTAATTCAGGCCGTAACACAACAAAATGTGGAAAACGTCAAGGGATGTGAGTACTTTCTGAAGGCACTGTATATAATATGCATCTTAGGGCTGGGAATTGCCAAGGACCTCACGATAAGAGGGTTCTTGCTGGCGTTGGGAAAACATACAACAGGAGCTACAGGATAATACTTTCCTTACATAGGTGAAACTGTAGTGGGGTACTATTTGTCATATGCATTAGTGATGGAGTGGGAAAAAATCAATAGTTACACATCGGGATATTATTTTTGAAGATATATCATATAGTTTTGACCATCACAATATTATTTTTGGGCTAGTTTGCAGTACCTGCACCAAACTCCAGTATTTTTCCTTCATAGCGTGTTCTCAATCTTTTTAAATAGGGAGCCAATTTGTTTTCAGTGCTTATTTCCATCTGATCAAAACTTATCTTATGGCTCGCTCTTGTCCCTCTGCAGCAGACATAGGGTGAGCAATATGTTTGGAACATCAAATTGCAATAAAATCACAGTAATGAATCACAATACATATAGAATCGTGAGAATCGCAATACATACACTACCAGTCAAAAGTTTGGACACACCTACTCATTCAAAGGTTTTTATTTATTTTTAAGATTTTTTACATTGTAGAATAATAGTGAAGACATCAAAACTATGGAATCATGTAGTAACTCGATGGGCACCGGTGGAGCGGACTGCTCTGACTCCGGAGTGGAGTAGCTGACCGGTGCTGGACCAGGCACCGGTGGAACGGGCAGTGCCGGACTGGGAACACGCACCACTGGCTTGGTGCAAGGAGCAGGCACGGGCCGGGCCGGACTGGGGACACGCACCACTGGTCTGGTGCGAGGAGCAGGAACGGGCCGGACTGGAGACACGCACCACTTGCTTGATCCAAGGAGCAGGTACGGGCCGGGCCGGACTGGGGACACGCACCACTGGTCTGGTGCGAGGAGCAGGAACGGGCCGGACTGGAGACACGCACCACAGGTCTGGCGCGGGGAGCAGGTACGGGGCTTACCGGGCTGGCGACACGCACAACTGGTTTGGTGCGAGGAGCAGGCACGGGTCGTGCCGGACTGGATACAGGCACCACTGGTTTGGTGCGAGGAGCAGGCACGGGCCGTACTGGACTGGATACACGCACCACTGGTTTGGTGCGGGGAGCTGGCATAACCCATCCTGGCCGGATGCCCACTTTCGCATGTGCAGGGGCGCTGGCACAGGACGCACTGAGCTGTGAACGCGCACTGGCGACACAGTGCGTAGGACTGGCACAGGATATACTGGACAGTGGAGGCCCACTGGTGACAAAGAGCGTTGAGCCAGCACAACCCGTCCTGGCTGGATGCCCACTTTGGCACGACACGTGCGGGGCGCTGGCACAGGACGCACTGGGCTGTGAATGCGCACTGGCGACACAGTGCGTATCTCCGCATACCTAGGTTCCTCAATGAACACAAGCTCCTTTTGTTGCCTGACCAGCTCCTCTCTCCGTGCCTCCACTACTTCCTTCTCCCTTTTGAGCCTCCTGTAGCGCCTCCCTCTGAACGGATAACTCCTGCTCCCTCTGAGCTAACAGTCCCCGTAACGTGGTGGCCTCCTCTCTGACTGCTCCAGTCCTTCTCTCTCTCTCGCCAATCCTCCTCCAGTGAGGACTCCTCCGGGAGCCCCCACGAGTTAGGGAACAGAGACTCATCGTCGTCGTCATCCTCCGACTCCTCCGTGTAAAACTGTTCCCATTCCTGTTCCCATGGTCGTAGGGTGTAGTGTGTTACCAATTGTTTTCTTGGTGACTATGGTCCCAGCTGCCTTGAGATCATTGACAAGATCCTCCGGTGTAGTTCTGGGCTGATTCCTCACCGTTCTCATGATCATTGCAACTCCACGATGTGAGATCTTGCATGGAGCCCCAGGCTGAGGGAGATTGACAGTTATTTTGTGTTTCTTCCATTTGCGAATAATCGCACCAACTGTTGTCACCTTCTCACCAAGCTGCTTGGCGATGGTCTTGTAGCCCATTCCAGCCTTGTGTAGGTCTACAATCTTGACCCTGACATCCTTGGAGAGCTCTTTGGTCTTGGCCATGGTGGAGAGTTTGGAATCTGATTGATTGATTGCTTCTGTGGACAGGTGTCTTTTTATACAGGTAACAAACTGAGATTAGGAGCACTCCCTTTAAGAGTGTGCTCCTAATCTCAGCTCGTTACCTGTATAAAAGACACCTGGGAGCCAGAAATCTTTCTGATTGAGAGGGGGTCAAATACTTAATTCCTCCATTAAAATGCAAATCAATTTATAACATTTTTGACATGTGTTTTTCTGGATTTTGTTGTTGTTATTCTGTCTCTCACTGTTCAAATAAACCTACCATTAATATTATAGATTGATCATTTCTTTGTCAGTGGGCAAACGTACAAAATCAGCAGGGGATCAAATACTTTTTTCCCTCACTGTACATACAAATGGGTTCAAGTTAAAACCTAGTCAACAGTAAAAAAAAAGTTTGTTGGAATACCCGCCCATATGACCATTACGCGCAGGAGGCACGGTGGCCATAGATATAATTCCAGTGATCTATTTCAAAAACAACTTGTGTATCTCTAATAATTTGACATCAATGAGATGGGCACATGTAGTAGTTACAGAATCTAATATACACTGCTCAAAAAAATAAAGGGAACACTAAAATAACACATCCTAGATCTGAATGAATGAAATAATCTTATTAAATACTTTTTTCTTTACATAGGTGAATGTGCTGACAACAAAATCACACAAAAATTATCAATGGAAATCAAATTGATCAACCCATGGAGGTCTGGATTTGGAGTCACCTTCAAAATTAAAGTGGAAAACCACACTACAGGCTGATCCAACTTTGATGTAATGTCCTTAAAACAAGTCAAAATGAGGCTCAGTAGTGTGTGTGGCTTCCACGTGCCTGTATGACCTCCCTACAACACCTGGGCATGCTCCTGATGAGGTGGCGGATGGTCTCCTGAGGGATCTCCTCCCAGACCTGGACTAAAGCATCCGCCAACTCCTGGACAGTCTGTGGTGCAACGTGGCGAGTCCCAGATGTGCTCAATTGGATTCAGGTCTGGGGAACGGGCGTCCAGTCCATAGCATCAATGCCTTCCTCTTGCAGGAACTGCTGAAACACTCCAGCCACATGAGGTCTAGCATTGTCTTGCATTAGGAGGAACCCAGGGCCAACCGCACCAGCATATGGTCTCACAAGGGGTCTGAGTATCTCATCTCGGTACCTAATGGCAGTCAGGCTACCTCTGGCGAGCACATGGAGGGCTGTGCGGCCCCCCAAAGAAATGCCACCCCACACCATGATTGACCCACCGCCAAACCGGTCATGCTGGAGGATGTTGCAGGCAGCAGAACGTTCTCCATGGCGTCTCCAGACTCTGTCACGTGCTCAGTGTGAACCTGGCGAATTTGCCAATCTTGGTGTTCTCTGGCACATGCCAAACGTCCTACTCGGTGTTGGGCTGTAAGCACAACCCCCACCTGTGGACGTCGGGCCCTCATACCACCCTCATGGAGTCTGTTTCTGACCGTTTGAGCAGACACATGCACATTTGTGGCCTGCTGGAGGTCATTTTGCAGGGCTCTGGCAGTGCTCCTCCTGCTCCTCCTTGCACAAAAGCGGAGGTAGCGGTCCTGCTGCTGGGTTGTTGCTCTCCTACGGCCTCCTCCACGTCTCCTGATGTACTGGCCTGTCTCCTGGTAGCGCTTCCATACTCTGGACACTACGCTGACAGACACAGCAAACCTTCTTGCCACAGCTCGCATTGATGTGCCATCCTGGATGAGCTGCACTACCTGAGCCACTTGTGTGGGTTGTAGACTCCGTCTCATGCTACCACTAGAGTGAAAGCACCGCCAGCATTCAAAAGTGACCAAAACATCAGCCAGGAAGCATAGGAACTGAGAAGTGGTCTGTGGTCACCACCTGCAAAACCAGTCCTTTATTGGGGGTGTCTTGCTAATTGCCTATAATTTCCACCTGTTGTCTATTCCATTTGCACAACAGCATGTGAAATGTATTGTCAATCAGTGTTGCTTCCTAAGTGGACAGTTTGATTTCACAGAAGTGTGATTGACTTGGAGTTACATTGTGTTGTTTTAAGTGTTCCCTTTTATTTTTTTGAGCAGTGTATATGTACAAAATGACCAAGTAGGAGACCTGGAAGGCAAGATAACTTAACTTAACTTAACTTAACTTAAAATGACATTCATGTAAGAAATGGTGTGATATCAAACACTTTGTTCAGACCTTTAGGAGACATGGTGCACAAACGGTGAATCCAATACAATCCCCCCCCCTCCTCCTAGGAGTGTTAAATAAAATATCCCAGAAACTTTCCATACGCACAAAAGGCTTATTTCTCTCCAATTTTGTGCAAAAATGTGTTTCCATTACTGTTAGTGAGCATTTCTTCTTTGCCAAGATAATCCATCCACCTGGCAGGTGTGGCATATCAAGAAGCTGATTAAACAGCATGATCATTACACAGGTGCACCTTGTACTCTAAGCCACTCTAAAATGTGTAGTTTTGTCACACAACACAATGCCACAGGTGTCTCAAATTTTGAGGGAGCATGCAATTGGCATGCTGACTGCAGGAATGTCCACCAGAGCTGTTGCAGAGAATTGAATGTTAATTTTGCTACTCAGTTGTTTTAGAGAATCTGGCAGTACGTCCAACCGGGCCTCACAACCGCAGACAATGTGTATGGTGTCGTGTGGGTGAACGGATTGCTGATGTCAACTTTGTGGAAAGAGTGCCCCATGGTGGCGATGGGGTTATGGTATGGGCAGGCATAAGCTACGGACAACAAACACAATTGCATTTTATTGATGGCAATTTGAATGCACAGAGATACTGTGACGAGATCCTGAGGCCCATTGTCGTGCCATTCATCCACCGCCATCACCTCATGTTTCAGCATGATAATGCACGGCCCCATGTCGCAAGGATCTGTACACAATTACTGGAAGCTGAAAATGTCCCAGTTCTTCCATGGCCTGCATACTCACCAGACATGTCACCCATTGAGCATGTTTGGGGTGCTGTGGATCGACGTGTATGACAGCGTGTTCCAGTTCCCGCCAATATCAAGCAACTTTGCACAGCCATTGAAGAGGAGTGGGACAACATTCTACAGGCCACAATCAACAGCCTGATCACTCTATGCGAAGGAGATATAGTGCTGCATGAGGCAAATGGTGGTCACACCAGATACTGACCAGTTTTCTGATCCATGCCCCTACCTTTTTTTAAGGTGCATTATATATACAAAAGTATGTGGACACCCCTTCAAATTAGTGGATTTGGCTATTTCAGCCACACCCGTTTGGTGGAGGAGGAATAATGGTCTGGGGCTGTTTTTCATGGTTCGGGCTAGGCTCCTTAGTTCCAGTGAAGGGAAATCTTAACGCTACAGCATACAATGACATTCTAAACGATTCTGTGCTTCCTACTTTGTGGCAACAGTTTGGGGAAGGCTCTTTCCTGTTATAGCATGACAATGCCCCCGTGCACAAAGCGAGGTCCATACAGAAATAGTTTGTCAAGATCGGTGTGGAAGAACTTGACTGGCCTGCACAGAGCCCTGACCTCAACCCCTTCGAACACCTTTGGGATGAATTGGAACACCGACTGCGAGCCAGGCCTAATCGCCCAACATCAGTGCCCAACCTCACTAATGCTCTTGTGGCTGAATGGAAGCAAGTCCCCGCAGCAATGTTCCAACATCAAGTGGAAAGCCTTCCCAGAAGAGTGGAGGCTGTTATAGCAGCAAAGGGGGGACCAACTCCATATTAATGCCCATGATTTTGAAATGAGATGTTTGACGAGCAGGTGTCCACATACCTTGGTCATCTAGTGTATCTGTGACCAACAGATGCATGTCCGTATTCCCAGTCATGTGAAAGCCGGCCAAATTCGAAACTCTAAGTCAAATATAGACTTATTGACATTCTGTGCACTTTCACATTTTCAGACACATACCTTCACTTCTCCCATTCATTCTCCTATGTTTCATGCATTCACACATTCATGTTGCATACAATTATCTTTAAAAAAAAGCAGATCTTTTATTTTTATCTAACTCAATATGTGAATGTTAATGAGTTTAGTTTTTTTGCACAATACATATTACATAGGGACACTAATTTTCCATTTAAATGTTGATTGTGTCTCATCACTAAAGCCTTTGTGACGGGTCACTCAACATTTTCATTGTAGTTTTTGGACCAAGTTTTTGCCATATTCGATGATATGATAGTGGTTACTGATTGACTGGGCCAATTTGCTCCCTGTGTGTTTGTAAATGGGTGGCTGTAAATTAGTTGTCGCAATAAAGCATGCAGGCATTAGTCCCAGCTGACATTGACTCAAGAATGGTCTGTACAGTTATGGTGCATTAGAGTTGAGGAGCAAGTTCTCAGTTCACTATGGGAGAAGTGAGCTGAAATACAATCTTGCTGCTTCTCAATGCAGCCCAAAATCCCTGCATTTATGGTGCTACTTGCCCAAGAGTCTTTGCTTTTTTACATTGGGTTTTAAGATGCTTTACACAGGTGTGGATCATGGCAATGGACTGTATAGGCTCCAGCGACGCCTTCAAACTGGGGATTTTAGGAAGCATTGTTAGGAGGTAAGCGTTTATTTGGTTTACTTCAGGCACACTGTTCTTCAGAGCAGCATATGATATCTTAAGCCTAGTCTTGTGTAACTCTGTTACCAATTCCTCCATGAGCTAGCAAACATGTTTCTGAGAGAAATGTGTCTGTACGTTTGTTGGAACATGTAGCCTACCGGTACGCATCATTTCATTTATATTAATCTTATTTTCATTTCCTGGCAACTTGCAGCTAGAAAAACTTGTCTACAGTACACACCAGCTACTATGTAAAGAAGAGGTTTATGGTTTTGGGAGGCATTTTGGTCCGTGACTTTCTCGCACGAGTGCTTTTGGAACATAATGACATGCTCTGTTTATTGTTTTGTCAAAAGCTGTATTGTGGTCTGTATGAGTGGTTAAGCAGGTAGGCCTACTGGAAGTAAACTGCTTCCCCCTCCCTGAGCCGGGCTACTGGAATCCATAGTGGCACGTGTCTCAAGACTTGGCATCATAAAGTCTCTGTGGTATTGCTGGCTGGGTCAGTCATTTTTTGTCTTAAAATGACTTGCGGTCTGAGGTATGCACTCACTCACTGTCATGTGCAGGCTGACTTGACTGCCTGCCTGATGTGTGTACAGAGTGTTACCTGTTAAGTCTGCCTCACCCATGTAGCTGTAGGATGGAGAGACTAGGGAAAAAGAGGTAGAGAGGGAGGGGGCATAGACCTGTGAGCCTCGTTGTGGCGTTTCCGATCCCGGATTAACTCACTGACGGAGATGTTGTTGAGCACCTGCCAACTCAGGCCTCGCTTTCCTGCACCACAACACCAGGGAAGGACTGAGGAGATGGACGCACAGGGCAGAATGGGACCTACAGGCTAGATATCAGGTCAATATGTAGAGCAAAGTAGAAATGGGGTCAGTCAAGGCACTCGAGGCCTCTTTGATTGAGTTCAACCGTCGGTTTACGCTCTGTAGCCATTGTGTTGGTATGTCTGTGTTGTGCTGGCTGCTGTGTGTTTACTGTATATAGAGTATTTATAGTGTAAGATCAAGCCGCTCTGGAGGAAGGCTAAATTCCCCCGAGGAATGTTTCCAGAGTTCTCAGGGGGTAGAGCTGAGCCAGTTGGTCACACTTTGGCTGCGGTGCCTGAAATAGGGCTCTGTTGTTTTAAGCCAGGGAACTCCGTGAAACCTTTAAAATCTGGTGCTTTTGGAGGACTTAGGCCAAACAGGCACGAGAGAGCGCGAAAGGCAGCCAAGTTTCCCCCTGAACAGGTACTGGGACAGAGCTGAGTTTGTCTGGGATAGTAACTAGGCTAGCTAGATAGATGCTGTGGCAGTGCTGTGTTTGTCTGGGGTGGGGGGGGGGGGGGGGGTAGAAGATACTGTGATGTAGCCTAGCCAATCTGGTAAGGTTGTCTTTAAATGGAGGTTGTACTTGGGAATGATGGGTAGGACCAAATAACTTGTGGTGGTGTTAGGGATGGGAAATGTAGACGTGATATCTATGGTGTTTCTGATGGGACAGGGAGTTAGTGAGGGCTTCTCTTTGGTTTCTGCAGTGTGTGGCCATACAGGGGTTTGAGGTGTTTGCAGACCTGTCCAAAGCAACATGAACACAGGCTACATTCAGCAGCAGCTGATTGTGTGGTGAGTGCCGATGTATCCTCCAGGGTTGAGGTCAATTGAAATTGAAAGCAGTCAGTTCAGGAAGTAAACTGAAATTCCAATTCAATAATTGAAAAAAGGGCACCTATGTTCAATGCTTTAATTCAAAGCTTTTTCCATTTATTAATTTTCAATTCAAATCACTTCCTGAATTGACTGCATTCCATTTGAATTGACCCCAACCATGGTATCCTCTGAGTTTGTATTAACCCACACCTCTCGTCTCTGTGGTTCCCTAGGTCCCTGGATGCCCCGCGGCACACCGTCCTCGCCCGCCTGCGCACGGCGCCCCCCGATGGCCGGCAGCTGACCCCGCCCCCTAGGATGACGGTGAGAGAGCGGCTGCGGGAGAAGATCTCGGCGGCGTTCTACCGCCATGGGCTGCTGTGTGCCTCCTATCCGGTGCCCATCATCCTCTTCACCTCCGCCAGTATCCTCGCCTGCTGGTACGTCTGAGGAACGGGTGTGTCTATGGGGGGTTCTGGGGATGGGCGTGTGCATCTTCAAGAGATGATATGGGAGAGTTCTTGTACTGGTTTCTCTGAACACGTTCAGTGTTGGTTTAAGGCAAGTTGTGAAATGATTGTATATTTATTTTTATATCAACATGGGCAGAGGTGAGATGGTAGGTTAGGAGAAGAGAAGCAGATGGATGAAAAGAAGAGGGAAACAACAGAGCTGGGAGAAAAAGGAGCAGACCCTGCAAAACCCAGTCAACTAAATAAAACAGCCATAGCCAAACGCATAACTCAGGACTCGGAACAGAACACACACTTCTCCACCTCAGAGTTCCACACCAGAGGTCAACCCCGTCACAGTTGAAAGGTCACAGCTGAGAAGTCAGGATAGGATGGAACGAATACGGTACAGCATGGAACCATGGGAGGCAGCAGTGCAGTGCCAAAAGCACGGCTGGCTGACGGCTGCGCTGAGTGCAGGGAATTAAATGGGTGGAAGCAGAGTTAAAAAGAGAGACACAGCAGAGGGCTGTGAGAAAGTGACCCCTGGAGAATAGGCCTGTCTGTGTGTTCCAGGCCCTCCATCTGCCTCCCAGGAGGTGGGGGCTCCTGCTGCAAAACAAGAGGCCTTTGTGGCAGTACAGTGACCTTCGAGAGGGAGAGCGAGCGGGAGAGAGGGTGTAGTGTCCTCAAAGAGAAATCTGTATCCCGTGGCCCTGGGCCTGACAGGCTGCCAAAGAAACAGGATGTTAGTGTTAAAGCACTAAGATACTGAGCAACACTCTCAGTCACATCACTATTGTACTGTACTTTGGAACTATGCAAACTGCACATTGATGTGGTGCAGGTCAGGTTACTGAGTCAGTTTTGACAGCGTTTAGTGAATAGAACACCCAGAAATGTTTCATTGTGTTCAGTCCTCACCTGAAAATCAATTTCCCAATAACCTGTTGGAATCTTTAGTTAATTATTCAAGAGGTTTGAAATGCTTTTGCTCGTCCATGAAGGTGGACTACAACTTCTCGGCAACAGAGCTGGGTCTATACCCTTCACAGTGAGGTAGTCTCCTCACGAGGGGTAATAAAATAACACAATTGTAGATTTCCACTCACAAGGTCCGGATATTTCTAGAACTAGGTGGCAAAGAGATTTTAACTGGCTATGGTTGGCATCTTCCAAATTTGTACCTACTTTCATCCCTTTGCTGCAATGTATTGCCAGGGTGTGATCATCATTTCCATTCGTGGTAAAGAATGTACCCAATGGCCTGACTGAGACAAATGCAGCACTGTCACTCTGGCTGTTTGTTTTCGCCTCAGTAGCCTCGTAGCTTTCCATGAATTTTGGAAGCGCCCTTGAACTTAATGCACTTGTTGGTTGATGGTTTTCGTTGTTTCTGTGTGTGTGTGTTTGGGAACACCACCTGTTTTGCAGGGCAAATGGGTCCTAGAAAGTGGGCCTTTGTAGAAGAATGATTGAGTGACGATGACAACCTGGGATTAAAGGTTGTAGTTACACATACATTAGGGTGGAATTAGTGGGTATTAGTTAGACTCATGTTTTTACATGAGTGGATATGGTATCGGCATATTAAGCACTAAACCCCTTCAATCCTTTTCTCATTAAGTGTGTTCATTCCTGTGTCTGTGTGTGGGCGTGCAATTGTGCATGTGAGAGTTATCGGTCTACTAAATCTTCTAAATCTCAGTGTGTTTCATAAGAGCCAACCTCTTCCCAGGAGAACAGGGGTGTTGGTCTCTAGTTAATACTTAATCTGCCAACAAAGGACAGGGGAGGCAGTGGCACTGACTTATTTTTTCTCTCTTACAGACATTAACACACTTGCATACTCAGGGACGCTTATTTGCTCATACATGTATTATTACATACATTTAACTGTAAGGTAATGATAATTTTGGTAGAGGGTGTGTATTTTAGTGCTGGGATAAGAAGTCTCAATACTCAGGCCTGTAACTAATATTCAGACCCAAATGTAATGTATTCTCCACTCCCATGTGATCGCCCGTCCTCCCTCTTCTCTCTCCCCCCTCTCTCAGTTACCCCCTGCTGCGGCTGCCTCTGCCGGGGACAGGGCCGGTGGAGTTCACCACACGGGTCCGAGATTACACCGTCCCTTCCCATGAGCCCCAGGGAGACCTCGGCGAGCGGCCTGACTGGGTAAGACTCACGGTCAAAAGATCAACCCACTTCCAGAGCCTACGTGGCTTGAGATTTGGACTGTTTACATGGTACATCTTTCTTTTGTGGAACTCAATGAAACTAACACCACTATGTACCATGTAGTTACCAATTGCATTGAATTCTTTGAAATACCGTCTGAAAAAGGGACTACAATAACAATAACCCATCCATCTCTCTGCCCATGTTTTACAAACCTCTCGCTCTCCTTTTCCTCCAGTATCAGGGTCCTCCGGTGGCCTACATCCAGCAGGTCCTGGTGAAGGCAGCTGTGTCTCCCTGGGACAGTACGCTGGTCCCTGTGGACGTGTTCCGCTCCCCACTGGGCCGCGTATTCAGCCTGCTGGAGGAGATCCGCAACCATGTACACAACGACGGGTATGGGGAAACTACACACACACACATCCAATGTCTCTCAGCCGCCTCTAGCTCTCTCTACCTTAAAATGCACCTTGACTGGACCGGACTTACCTCTCCTCTCTTTGCAGTTCTGGGGTCAGGAGCTTGGAGGCGCTCTGCCTGCAGGTGACGGACCTGTTGCCGGGGTTACGGCGTATGCAGACGGTGCTGCCGGAGCACGGTTGTCTGTTGGTCTCCCCCGGCAACTACTGGCAGAACCAGCGGGAACTGTTTGACTCTGACCCCGACCTGCTGAAGACCGTCCACCAGCACGAACCCAAAGGACTGCACACCTCTGCCACACTGAGAGGTAGAGAGGGAGGAAGGGGAGGGGAGGGGTAAATAGAGGGCAGAGCAGAGGAAGTATCCTTTTGTATCCCTTTAGCTAATGCTCATTGAGCCCCAACTAGAACATGTGAGCGGAGTTGAGCGGTTGGAAATCGCGCTCATCGCTCATGGAGCGGTGCTTGCGCTCCATGGCCTTTCCTACCGCTCCAAATTCGCTCCGTTCATTAAAATCACAATTTAACCAACACCCATCTACAGTGGGGGAAAAAAGTATTTAGTCAGCCACCAATTGTGCAAGTTCTCCCACTTAAAAAGATGAAAGAGGCCTGTAATTTTCATCATAGGTATACGTTAACTATGACAGACAAAATGAGATTTTTTTTTCCAGAAAATCACATTGTAGGATTTTTTATGAATTTATTTGCAAATTATGGTGGAAAATAAGTATTTGGTCAATAACAAAAGTTTCTCAATACTTTGTTATATACCCTTTGTTGGCAATGACACAGGTCAAATGTTTTCTGTAAGTCTTCACCAGGTTTTCACACACTGTTGCTGGTATTTTGGCCCATTCCTCCATGCAGATCTCCTCTAGAGCAGTGATGTTTTGGGGCTGTCGCTGGGCAACACAGACTTTCAACTCCCTCCAAAGATTTTTTTATGGGGTTGAGATCTGGAGACTGGCTAGGCCACTCCAGGACCTTGAAATGCTTCTTACAAAGCCACTCCTTCGTTGCCCGGGCGGTGTGTTTGGGATCATTGTCATGCTGAAAGACCCAGCCACGTTTCATCTTCAATGCCCTTGCTGATGGAAGGAGGTTTTCACTCAAAATCTCACGATACATGGCCCCATTCATTCTTTCCTTTACACGGATCAGTCGTCCTGGTCCCTATGCAGAAAAACAGCCCCAAAGCATGATGTTTCCACCCCCATGTTTCACAGTAGGTATGGTGTTCTTTGGATGCAACTCAGCATTCTTTGTCCTCCAAACACGACGAGTTGAGTTTTTACCAAAAAGTTCTATTTTGGTTTCATCTGACCATATGACATTCTCCCAATCCTCTTCTGGAACATCCAAATGCACTCTAGCAAACTTCAGACGGGCCTGGACATGTACTGGCTTAAGCAGGGGGACACGTCTTGCACTGCAGGATTTGAGTCCCTGGCGGCGTAGTGTGTTACTGATGGTAGGCTTTGTTACTTTGGTCCCAGCTCTCTGCAGGTCATTCACTAGGTCCCCCCGTGTGGTTCTGGGATTTTTGCTCACCGTTCTTGTGATCATTTTGACCCCACGGGGTGAGATCTTGCGTGGAGCCCCAGATCGAGGGAGATTATCAGTGGTCTTGTATGTCTTCCATTTCCTAATAATTGCTCCCACAGTTGATTTCTTCAAACCAAGCTGCTTACCTATTGCAGATTCAGTCTTCCCAGCCTGGTGCAGGTCTACACTTTTGTTTCTGGTGTCCTTTGACAGCTCTTTGGTCTTGGCCATAGTGGAGTTTGGAGTGTGACTGTTTGAGGTTGTGGACAGGTGTCTTTAATACTGATAACAAGTTCAAACAGATGCCATTAATACAGGTAACGAGTGGAGGACAGAGGAGCCTCTTAAAGAAGAAGTTACAGGTCTGTGAGAGCCAGAAATCTTGCTTGTTTGTAGGTGACCAAATACTTATTTTCCACCATAATTTGCAAATAAATTCATAAAAAATCTTACAATGTTATTTTCTCTCAATTTGTCTGTCATTGTTGACGTGTACCTATGATGAAAATTACAGGCCTCTCTCATCTTTTTAAGTGGGAGAACTTGCACAATTGGTGACTGACTAAATACTTTTTTTCCCCACTGTATTTTTGTGACTTCCTGGACCTACCAATTGGTTTTTAAGTATTGAAACCAAACCATATGGATTTGAATGAAAAGTATTTGAATAAACATGAAAAGGTGAATGTAAAAAGCAAACATCATTTCAAATAGGCTACATGTCATATTAAACAGCATATAAACACTCTAAATAGGTCAGGAGCCTAAGAAGGAACGAAAATGAATTATTTAGGCTATATTATTTATATTATTTCAATTATTTCAAGGCTGTAGCCTACAAAGAAATACACTGCTCAAAAAAATAAAGGGAACACTTAAACAACACAATGTAACTCCAAGTCAATCACACTTCTGTGAAATCAAACTGTCCACTTAGGAAGCAACACTGATTGACAATACATTTCACATGCTGTTGTGCAAATGGAATAGACAACAGGTGGAAATTATGGCAATTAGCAAGACACCCCCAATAAAGGAGTGGTTCTGCAGGTGGTGACCACATACCACTTCTCAGTTCCTATGTTTCCTGGCTGATGTTTTGGTCACTTTTGAATGCTGGCGGTGCTTTCACTCTAGTGGTAGCATGAGACGGAGTCTACAACCCACACAAGTGGCTCAGGTAGTGCAGCTCATCCAGGATGGCACATCAATGCGAGCTGTGGCAAGAAGGTTTGCTGTGTCTGTCAGCGTAGTGTCCAGAGCATGGAGGCGCTACCAGGAGACAGGCCAGTACATCAGGAGACGTGTACTCCAGAGGAGCAGGGGGGTGATGAGGCCACAATCATGGTAAAATCCAGAGGTGGTATGAGGGCCGACGTCCACAGGTGGGGTTGTGCTTACAGCCCAACACCGTGCAGGACGTTTGGCATTTGCCAGAGAACACCAAGATTGGCAAAATTCGCCACTGGCCCTGTGCTCTCACAGATGAAAGCAGGTTCACACTGAGCACATGTGACAGACGTGACAGAGTCTGGAGACGCCGTGGAGAACGTTCTGCTGCCCCTCAACATCCTCCAGCATACCGGTTTTGGCGTGGGTCAGTCTGTGGTGGGGTGGCATTCTTGTGGGGGGCCGCACAGCCCTCCATGTGCTCACCAGAGGTAGCCTGACTGCCATAGGTACCGAAATGAGATCCTCAGACCCCTTGTGAGACCATATGCTGGTGCGGTTGGCCCTGGGTTCCTCCTAATGCAAGACAATGCTAGACCTCATGTGGCTGGAGTGTGTCAGCAGTTCTTGCAAGAGGAAGGCATTGATGCTATGGACTGGCCCGCCAGTTCCCCAGACCTGAATCCAATTGAGCACATCTGGGACATCATGTCTCGCTCCATACACCAAAACCACGTTGCACCACAGACTGTCCAGGAGTTGGCGGATGCTTTAGTCCAGGTCTGGGAGGAGATCCCTCAGGAGACCATCCGCCACCTCATCAGGAGCATGCCCAGGCATTGTAGGGAGGTCATACAGGCAGACAGCCTGTAGTCTGGTTTTCCACTTTAATTTTGAGTGTGACTCCAAATCCAGACCTCCATGGGTTGATACATTTGATTTCCATTGATAATTTGTGTGTGATTTTGTTGTCAGCACATTCAACTATGTAAAGAAAAAAGTATTTCATAAGATTATTTCATTAATTCAGATCTAGGATGTGTTATTTTAGTGTTCCCTTTATTTTTTTGAGCAGTGTACATTGTGAAGCATTTGCGAGTGTGACACAATAGGCTGGTAGGGACATAAAGGGCTCAGCATTTAAACAACATTTTGTTGTATTAAATCACTATAGTCTATAAATTGAGCATATAGGCTGTGACTTACTTAGAATTAAATACAAATTAAACGATAAATGCCTTATTTGTCTGTCTACAGTGCCTTGAACGAGTTTGGCCAGTCTGTGGCTTCAGGCTCTTGTGATGGTGCCTGGAGTGCAGGCCAGCAGCAGAGAATATCATTTGCAGAGCCACTGGGGAGGCTAAACGCCCTTTTTGGCCAATCTTGCCAGGCTGAGCAGAGATGCAGAGTTGTTTTAAAAAATGTCTATAGGTAGGCGTAAAGGTTTTTAGGCAAAATAACCCAATCAAAACAGAAAGCTCCTTGAAAGTGGGAATGTGCCAGGCCTATTGGGCTAAAATTATTTATGGCTTATTGTATAGATAATAGAACAAGAATGAACGAAACTTTTAAGAGATCTGATTTTTAGTTTATAAATACTTTGCTACAATGACACTCTTAGTTATTTACAAACCTTGTTCCTTTCTTTTAGCATGTGCATGTAGTAAGTACACCATCATGCTTTCGGGATACGTATAGCAAAGGGCTATAGCAGCACACAAGTAGACTACAAATGCATGCCCTCAGCTCGTGAAGTAAGCCCGACTTTTTTGGAGCGAAATTGGAGCGGGCAAGATGGTCGACGCTCCATCCTTTGGGAATCTCGCTCCGCGCTCCAGTCAAATTGGGCACGCTCCTCACTCCGCTCACGTACTCTGGCCCCAACTAGTGGCAGACTGGTAATGCTGATATTGTTCAATGCTAATTGTGTGTGTGTGTGTGTGTGTTTAGACCTGCTGTTTGGCGTCCCGGGGAAACACACAGGGGTGAGTCTGTACAGCAGGAAGAAGGTGGTCACCTACACCATCACCATGGTCCTGGGCAGCTATGACACCAGGTTCCTGTCTAGCCTGCGGGCGCGTCTCCGCCAGCTGCACCCTTCGGTGAACTGCAGCCTGCGAGACGACCACATGGTGCACGTGCACTTCAAGGAGGAGATAGGCGTCGCCGAGCTCATCCCCCTGGTCACCACCTACATCATACTGTTCGCCTACATCTACTTCTCCACACGTAAGCATCTGACTGGTCTGGACGCCACGGGGGCATCTCAATAGTCTGAAGAGGTTCACTTCCCTTCATCTGCACTGATCTGAAAGTTGGCTTAGTTTGAATTAGTTAAAGATGCATCCTTCTTTCCATCCGTGCTTCCTTGAAGTAATGTGTCCCATTACTAAGGCTGGTGGGGGCAATTGGTTTCAAATGAAATGCTTTGGGGGCCTCTCCTTTTCTCTGGGATATTGTTCCCAGGTGCCCAGTCAAGGCCACAGAGCCAAGGCCCAGAATAGTGTGTGTGTGTGTTTGACTGAGTCCTAGCCAAGGCTGTTCCTGTCTAGTCCAGGGATAATCCCGTATACAGGAACACTGTAGTCCACCATAATGCACAACGATAAGACTCACCAATGTGTGCCAACACCAACAATATGCTGGCATACACACACACACACACGTGCAATCTGTACTGTACACAAACCTCATTTCAACTAAGATCTGCAGAAACTCACTCATGCTCAGAGACATTCTTCTTTGTAGTGTGGCTGTGTAGCCTCTGTCTATGCTACCTCTTTCCTTCGTGTGTGTAGCCGCTGTCTATGCTACCTCTTTCCTTCGTGTGTGTAGCCGCTGTCTATGCTACCTCTTTCCTTCCAGTGTGTGTAGCCGCTGTCTATGCTACCTCTTTCCTTCCAGTGTGTGTAGCCGCTGTCTATGCGAACTCTTTCCTTCCAGTGTGTGTAGCCTCTGTCTATGCTAACTCTTTCCTTCCAGTGTGTGTAGCCTCTGTCTATGCTAACTCTTTCCTTCCAGTGTGTGTAGCCTCTGTCTATGCTAACTCTTTCCTTCCAGTGTGTGTAGCCTCTGTCAATGCTAACTCTACTTCTTCCTCTCCCCAGGTAAGATTGACATGGTGAAGTCAAAATGGGGCTTGGCGCTGGCTGCCGTGGTAACGGTGCTCAGCTCTCTGCTTATGTCTGTGGGGCTCTGCACCCTGTTCGGCCTGACGCCCACACTCAATGGAGGGTAAGAAACACACACACACCAAAAGCATGCCCACACACTTACTAACTCACACACACACACACTCTAAAAGCCCCTGACCCTCTCCTGCTCATTGATCTGTATGGATTACTGTGGGACTGCAGATGTTAATGTACAGTGAGTGACAGGGGACTCTGTTACCGAGAGCAACAGATGTGGACTTAAAGGGGAGGCGGGAATCCTAAGAGGGCGGGGATAGATATTGATGTGGCGTACCTGGCCAATCACACCCAGCTTATTGGAATGTAGAGGATGGCGTGACCACCTCACGCCATCCAAATCTCACCAACCATCAACCAAGATTCCAGGGTCTATACACACACATGCACATAGACCTACATACCCTCTATTGTGCATATTGACACAATGGCCACACAATAAATCCTGAAGTAATAACACGTGTGTTTAGTCTTTATCTTCTGTGGCGTGGTTATGTTACATACTGACCTCCAACCCACCAACCCTTATCTCCACGTGTAGTGATAGCATATCTCCGGTTCACTCTGTCAAACCTTCTTCATTCGCCCGTTCTCTCTTTCTTCATCCATACTCTTGTCTACTACATGTCCCAGTTTCTATTTTTAACCAGTGTTTTTATTTGTGTGACAAATATAATGACCTCAATCAAATTGAAAAACCTGACCTCTCTCCCACCCTAACATCCAAACGTGCATCTATCACCTGATCCACAAATAAGCACTCTTGAGAGCACTGGTTACTCAAATGAGATTATGAAGTATTATTCACAATAGCCTTGTAATCATGTTGTCTCTCCTTGTGTCTCTCTCTCTCTCAGTGAGATCTTCCCCTATCTGGTGGTGGTGATAGGGCTGGAGAACGTCCTGGTTCTCACCAAGTCTGTGGTGTCCACCCCTGTTGACCTGGAGGTCAAACTACGCATCGCTCAGGGTAAGACTGTGTGGGTTGGTTGGTTGGTTCTTCTATCCTTGTGGGGACCTACAAATCCCCAAAACGTCCCCACAAGGATAGTAAAACAAGGAACATTATCCCTTGTGGGGACATTTCCCACATCCCCATGAGGACAAAGGCTATTTTAAGCTTAGGGGTTAGAGTTACAGGTTAAGGTTAGTGTTATGGTTTAGGGTTAGGGAAAATAGGATTTGGAATGGAAATTAATTTTAGGTCCCCTCGAGTGAAAGCCAAGCATTTGTTAATGTGGTATTGTGTTGTCCCTCTCCAGGCCTTAGTAATGAGAGCTGGTCTATCATGAAGAACATGGCCACAGAGCTGTGCATCATCCTCATAGGATATTTCACCCTGGTGCCTGCTATCCAGGTAACACACACACACACCAATCTATCGCACACTGGCGTATGAACACAGGTAGACACACACTTTCATTCACATAGTAGAGCATACCGCCACACAACATACACCCACGCACACTTCTCCCGTGTAAGTTATGAGTGGCCTGATGTTTATTTCTGTGTGTGTTTCCAGGAGTTCTGTCTGTTTGCTGTGGTGGGGCTGGTGTCTGACTTCTTCCTTCAGATGTTCTTCTTCACCACAGTCCTTTCCATTGACATCCGACGCATGGAGGTGAACACAGGCACACACACACACTGTCAACAGTGCTTTCCTTAGTAATTAACCGACATGGAGGAGAGGTCATAGACACACACACATTTGCAATGTGAAGGTGAGGTCTCTTGTGACATGAGTCATTTCCTGAGTCGACAGTATTCAGTAAAATATTGACAGTCTCTTTATCCACCTTGTTCCCCTGTTACGCTCAGACACATACTCTAACACTAATCCATACACATATACTCACGTACTTGTACTCTCACACACGTTACACACTCCCACATGCCCGCACCCTAAAACTGTCCTCTCACACACACAGTTGGCCGATCTGAACCGGCGTCTTCCGGCCGAGGCGGGGATGCCACCTCCCAAACCGGGCCCCCTGCGCCCTCGGGAGGCGCCTCCTCCCCCACGGCCCTCGCCCCACACCATCACCCTGCAGACGCCCGCCTTCAGGAACCTGCGTCTGCCCAAGAGGCTCCGTGTGGTCTACTTCCTGGCCCGCACGCGTCTGGCCCAGCGCTTCATCATGGTGAGACTGGGTGGAGGCACTTCCAGAAAATACAGTTCGTTTAAGTTAGGGTTGCACGATTATTTCACAAAATGTACAGGCTTTCCAGAAATTAGGATTGAAAGATTCCTGATTTCCTGCTTATTCCCGTCTGATTCCGGGAATCTTCCAACTGGATTTTTTGGGAATTTGGGGAAAGTTACCGGACTTTTGCGACCCTAGTTTTACTTAGTCCAGTGTTAACAAATGCTTGTGTGAAAGGAGGGTGAGTTAGCACTGGGCTAAGAACAAGCAGTGTGAAAAAGCCTTAAGGGTGACTGTCTCAAGGCCTTTTCACAGAGATTCTGCCTTTTGGGCCGTCGTGTCTGCATGTGTAACTGTCTGTCTCGCCTGTCAATATTTGTCTGTCTCTGTATGACTGTTTGAACATTTACAGTACTTCCTTGAAGTAGCTCTCTGTATGCATTGACATGTCCCTGTATCGTTGTAGGTGGGTACAGTGATCTGGATTGGCATCCTGGCCTACACGGACCCCGCCGGCCTCCGCACCTACCTGGCAACCCAGGTATCTGAACAGAGCCCCCTGGGGGAGGGCGGGGCCGGGGGTCTGCCCCCCAACCTGGGAGTAGCCCCAGTCTTCCCTGGACCAGGAGGGGACCCCGCCAGCACCCTCAGTGTCCTCCCCGCCCCGGCTGAACCCACCCCGCTTCCAGAGAACCAGTCCCAGGGCCACCATGGGGCCCCCAGGGAAGGAGTACCCCACCAGGCCCAGCCCCCACCCCTGGTGCCCCAGATCAGCTGGGGGGCGGAGGATGAGGAGGGCTGGAGGAGGACTGTCTTTCAGACACTGGCCCTCGCTCTTCAGCTACTATAATATTACACTGGCCAAGAGGTAGGTCAGGGGAGTTGGAATGAGTTACTGTGTGTGTATGTGCATAGTGTGTGTGTGTCACTGTTTACCCTACTGACCATGCTTTTGGGTTATGGATGGGAAGAAAGGTGAATTCAATGTCTTAATGTAGGAAATGTCATTTTGTTACCTTTCTGTCCCACAGATACATCAGCATCCTGCCTGTCATACCCGTCACGCTCCACCTGAGCCCCCGGGAGGCCATCGAGACGCGTCACCCCCAGGACACACGCCACCCCCCGCCGCCCACCCTCAAAACTAACGACCTGCCCGCAGACCTCACGCTCTACAAGTCAGTACCGACACACTCACACATGCAACAACCTCTATCGCCAAGGCCTTCAAACTACAGATTGACTAATATTCCCCCTAATACCACAATCTATGCACTTCATGTTTTTCAAATGCACACACCCACACACAGTGCACACCACTTCAAAGTCCATGCTAATGCTCTTGTGCAGGCGAAAGGTCAATGTTATAGGGAACGGTTATGGTGTCAAGGCCAAGAGATTCAGTGATAATCCACACAGTCCAAACTCGCATCTCATACAGTATATGCTCGCATTTGTCCCACATAGGATTGCAAAATTCCAGAAACTTTCAATAAACTCCCTGGTTTTCCCATAATCCCGGTTGGAGGATCCTGGAATCAGGAAGGAGTAAGCAGGAAATCCAGAAGCCTCCAACCAGGATTTCTGGAAAACCAGGGAATTTATTGAAAGTTCCAGACATTTTGCAACCCTAGTCCCAGACCTCTCTCCTCTCCCTCTCTTTCTAACTTTGTAAACTAAACAAGGCCAAACAGTCCGTCACTGTGTCGATGGTTATCTAAAAAAGAGTTTTTCTCTTATCTCTACAGTTGACTGGATATTGGGCGAGTTCATTTTTCATCGGTGCCCCAGGTGGGTGGGATTTGCACATTTTAGACCATTCCATTGGTCCTAAAGTGAAATCTCCACCCACCCGGGGCACAGGGCCATGCAAAACAAACTCCCTCACTGACTCGCAGACTTTGGTCCTATCTACCAGCTCATCTGATTGGCTGTCAGGTTACTCGTAAGATGTCCGTGGGTTGATGATGTCATGGTGGAGTGGGTGATGGTTGGTGTGGTTTTTGGATGGTGTGAAACGGGATCTCAACTGTGTTTTCCCTAGTTCTATTTTGTTAGTAGTAGGGGGCAAAGGTTCCTCAAAACAACAGGCAGTACTGCCAACATCAATGTTTGTATTAGAACAAACAGAATTAGGCAGGGGGGGGGGTGCTGTGTTGCTTGAGAAGTGAGGATGGAAATATTGTTTTAAAAGACCACCAGTGTTTTTCCTGCTGTGTACTACATCCTTGACCAATAGCATATTAAAATCGATCCAACTTTTGAACTTTGTCCACCGTGATTTGTAACGCTAGGGAAGGTTTTTCATTGTAAGTGGAAGGTCTGAATCATATTCATCAGGTCATGAACATGTGCTATTTGCAGCCAGTTTGTGCACACTACATGGGTGCGTTTCCCTAAGGGGACAATAAAGTCAGTATGTACAGGCTGACTCCATGCATGAGTGTGTGCTGGACCAGTCAGACTCTGCCGTGGTTTCAGGACTGGTATTGCATGTCGAGCTGGTCACACCAGTGCGTCAGGCCCTATTGTCATGGCAGTGACGCATTCTACACTACAGGTGATTTTGAGGCTTCTGCCTTTACAACCGTCTCTACTAGAGGGACTCACTGGACCCATTAAAATGGCTCTGCATTCTAGACTTTTCTCATGGGGGATAATGAACAGTCAGTCATGTTATGTCATTCTGACAAGCTTATGATTTATGTTGGTACGTAATTGCGTCAAGTTCACACCTTTCTCAAGGTTCAAGTCTTTCTATTGTAAGATGCACTGTGCGGGCTACAAGATGGTTTGGTCTCCCGGTCATTAGTACTCTCTGTCTAACTTTCTCTCTCTTCACATATTTAACCTGCTCTCTCTCAATCTCAATGCAATCCAAACCAGCGTTATTGGCACGTATGGAGAAGGCATCACAGAGGTTATTTACCCTCTCTGTCTCTCTCTTTAGGGTAGCAGCTCTGGGCCTGGCAGCAGGGGTTCTGCTGGTGCTGCTGCTCTTCTGTCTCTACCGGGTCCTCTGTCCCCGCAACTACGGCCAGAACGGCGTGGCCCACGGACGCCGTCGCCGCGGTGACCTGCCCTGCGACGACTACGGCTACTCGCCACCCATCAGCGAAATCTCCCCCCTGCTGCTGCGTGGACACAGCATGGTGAGAGACTGGGCGCACACAATCGGACACAAATACCATTGTTTATTTGCGTGAATATTTACGAGTATCTCTCCTCTGCATTCTCTCTCTCTCTCTCGCTCTCTCTCTAGGATATAGAGTGTCTGGCGAGTGATGGAATGCTGTTGGCCAGTTGCTGTCTGGCAGGACAGATCCGTGTGTGGGACGCTCAGACTGGAGACTGCCTCACCGTCATTCCTAAACATGGGTAAGACAGGTGCAAACATACCACATACAGAGCTATGGACAGTTCATGCTTGTGTTCATGCATAGTGTTTCTCTTTTTTGGCCTGCCACCACCCACCTCTTCGGAGTACAACTTTTATTATTTGAATAATAAATGTACAATATTAACTTTACATATGTAAGTACAAGTCATTAGATTTATTTTTTCAGTATAGTATTCCTCTGTGTTCAACCTTCTTCCCATTCCCATGTCCTTTATTTCTTCCTACATAGTCTTCCCTCCTGTTCTATATGCATATCCAGCCTTCTAGCCTGAACGCTAAACTGTCTCTCTCTGTCAGCCTGCGGCGGAGTAGCAGCAGTGGCTGCTGGCAGCAACGGGATGGATGGGACGCTGTGGGTGTGGCCGAACCTGAGAACCTGGGGAGCGGGACAGAACCAGGGGGCGGGGTTTTTGACGAGGACGAGGGCTACCCCCTCAGGCGGCGGAGCACCCCACGCCCGGCCCTCTTTGAGGATCAACCCGACCTCACCCCCCTCATCGACACCAACTTTGACTCCCAGCCCCCCTCCCACCTTCTCCTCACCCCGCCCAGGGATGGCTTTGACTTCGGGGGGCTGGTGGAGAGGGCCTACCTGGAGCACGAGCCTCCTGCCTCCTACCCCTCCCCCTCGCCCCCGTCGGGACCCGCTCCCCAGAGGAGACGCAGCCTGGGGTACATCCAGCCCCCTGCTCCACAGGGCCAGGGAACCCCGGACTGGGAAAGCGCTGTGTGGGCCATGGAGCTCCGGGGGAACCTCATCGCTGCTGGGAGGAGCAGCGGCAAACTGGAGGTGAGACCCAATCCCAAATCAACCCCTAGCCCCTACCCCGTCACTAGACACTTTATGATGCTCCCTTGTAGAACAGAAATAAATAACTGAATGGGTGTAGAGGGAGTGGATGAGATGGGAAGGCGCAGGGGAAGTGGGAAGAGAGGGGGTAGTCAAGCAGGAAACAATATTTGCAAGAGGAGAGAGTACAAATGACCTGGACTAACCTGTACCCCGTACATTGACTCGGTACCGGTACCCCCTGTAGATAGCCTTGCTATTGTTATTTTATTGTTACTTTTATTTTGTACTTTATTTTATTTTGTAAATATTTCTTGAACTGCATTGTTGGTTAAGGGCTTGTAAGTAAGCATTTTACGGTAAGGTCTACACCTGTTGTATTCGGCGCATGTGACCAATAACATTTGATTTGAGTCGGAGAAATTGGCACAGAGAAAGCCAGGGCAAGTGCACTAATGTGTGATGTGTGGTTAGCTGTGGGACGCTGTGGAGGGCTCGTTACGCTGCAGTAATGAAGATGGCGTCTCAGGGATCACGGCCCTGGCCTTCCTCAACAACAGGATCGTGGCGGCCAGACTCAACGGCTCTCTAGACTTCTTCACTGTCGACATCAACAAGCCTCTGGGCTTACTGCAGTACAGAGGTGAGCACACACACTGTCAACATCAACACGCCTCTGGGCTTACTGCAGTACAGAGGTGAGCACACACACTGTCAACATCAACAAGCCTCTGGGCTTACTGCAGTACAGAGGTGAGCACACACACTGTCAACATCAACACGCCTCTGGGCTTACTGCAGTACAGAGGTGAGCACACACACTGTCGACATCAACAAGCCTCTGGGCTTACTGCAGTACAGAGGTGAGCACACATGATGTCAATATCAGTCCCCTGTAGGTCAGTTGGTAGAGCATGGTGCTTGCAACGCCAGGGTTGTGGGTTCATTTCCCACGGGCGTCTGCTAAATGACTAAAATGTCAAATGTAATATACACTGAGTGTACAAAACATTAGGAACCTGCTTTTTCCATGACATAGACTGACCAGGGGAATCCAGGTGAAAGCTATGATCCCTTATTGATGTCACTTGTTAAATCCACTTCATTCAGTGTAGATGAAGGGGAGGAGACAGGTTCAATAATGATTTTTAAGCCTTGAGACATGGATTGGGTTTGTGTGCCATTCAGAGGGTGAATGGGAAAGACAAAATGGTAGTGAACGGGGTATGGTAGTAGGTGCCAGGCGCACCGGTTTGACTGTGTCAAGAACTGCAACAATGCTGGGTTTTTCACGCTCAACAGTTTCCTGTGTGTATTAAGAATGGTCCACCACCCAAAGGACATCCAGCCAACTTGACAAAACTGTGGGAAGCAAGAGAGTCAACATGGGCCAGCATCCGTGTGAAATGCTTTCGACACCTTGTAGACGAGTTGAGGCTGTTCTGAGGGCAACAGGGGGTGCAACTCAATATTAGGAAGGTGTTCCTATAATATTTTGTACACTCAGTGTATGTCTGTAATACGCTTGGAAAGTCGTGTCACAATCGGTAAAATGTCAACACAACTGGAGTCACCTCGCCATTTCTGGAGACATGTTATTGACAGGGCAGCGCTATGGTAGCTATCAATAGTGTAGTTAACTAATTGTCAAGTAAGGTGTCTCCAGACGTTTACTTTCTCAACGTTTGTGACGTCTTAACTTTCAGCGCGTATTAACTCTAGACATCTGTAATGAGTGTGTTTATTATCTATATTGACTGTGTTCTGTGTGGTGCCAGGTCCCCCCGGGCGTTGGTAACATGCCACCCTCGCCCTGCTACAGCAGTGAGGATGTGATCTCATGCCAGCTGACGCGCTCGGTGCAGTGTGCCCACCAGAAACCCATCACAGTGCTTCGAGCCGCTGCCGGCAGAGTGGTCACGGGCAGCCAGGACCACACCGTCAGGGTGAGTGAGAACACAAACACACACAGAAACACGCACACAGATGTACAGAAACACACACACACACACATACACACACATGGTTAGCTGTGGGACACTGTGGAGGGCTCGTTATGCTGTAGTAATGAAGATGGCGTCTCAAGGATCACGGCCCTGGCCTTCTTCAACAACAGGATCGTGGCGGCTCGTGTATATCATTCACCAACTTTTTGCATGATAAAACAGAATAAAATCAACACTCACTCACACACACTAAAACCCTGCTGTTTGTCCCTCTGTGTCAGGTGTATCGTCTGGAGGACTCATGCTGTCTCTTCACCCTCCAGGGCCACTCTGGGGGAATCACTGCCATCTATATAGACCAGGTTAGTCAATGGTACAGTCTGTGTCCCCCCCACCCCATCGGGACAGTCCGATGGTACAGCCCTGTCCCCCAAAGCTGTGTTCCAATGGCTAAACTCTTGTCTGGCTGCATTCCAACCCAAAACCTGCTCCCTTGATGAATTGCCCCCAGAAGGATAGTTATGCAACATAGCAATGGGCTCACCATGCTCCTAAAATTCCACCTTTTCCGAACCTTCTATACCAGTCTTGGTGGGTGTGCAGGAGAGTCACTAAGGCACAGGCAGCACAATTCTGATATTTTTATCCACAAATTGGTCTTTTGACCAATCACATCCAATCTTTTCACATCAGATCTTTTTCAGAGCTGGTCTCATTGGTTAAAAGACCAATTAGTGGAAAGTAATACGAATTGGGCTGCCTGTGTAAACGCAGCCTAAGATGCTCCTTTCGATCAAAATCCATTCGACTGTAAGCCCCCCTTACTAGGGCACATCGTAGCAAAACTTTTTGCAACGGAAAATTAGGATTTCTTATGAACAACTCCAGGTAGTCCCTCCCCATAGCAGTCCACTTTTTTCTGTTTGTACTTAATATGACCCATGTGAAGTATCAGTCATTATGTGGTGTTGCAGACCATGGTTCTGGCCAGTGGGGGGCAGGACGGAGCCATCTGTCTGTGGGATGTGCTGACGGGCAGCCGGGTGAGCCACGTGTACGGTCACCGTGGCGACGTGACCTCGCTGGTGTGCACCACATCGTGCGTGATCAGCAGCGGCCTCGACGACCTCATCTGCATCTGGGACCGCAGCACGGGCATCAAGCTCTACTCCATACAGCAGGTGGGTCTCTGTGTGTGTGTGGATCATTTGGGAGAAATCTGGTAAACTTCTCTCCTGTTATTCAATGATAGTTTATGCTTTTATGCCTCTTCACCTGCTCTCCATCCCAATGTTCCCTTCTTTCTCTAAACCTAACCTGTCTCCCCCCTCTCTCTCTCCCAGGAGGTGGGCTGCGGGGCCAGTCTGGGGGTGATCTCTGAGTCTCTCCTGGTGACAGGGGGCCAGGGCTGTGTCTCCTTCTGGGACCTGAACTTCGGGGACCTCCTCCAGACGGTCTACCTGGGCCAGAGCAGCGACGGCCAGGGGGTCCGCCAGCTTGTGGTGCTGAACAACGCCGCCATTGTCTGCGACTTTGGCTCCGAGCTCAGCCTGGTCTACGTGCCCTCTGTGCTGGAGAAGCTGGACTGAGCAGGAGCAGAACTAGGACAGGCGCCACACAGTGGCCTGGAGGAGTAGATGAAATGATCAGTACTGACAATGGGGATACATGCAAACTCAACTCTTTTTGGCTCTTTTCGCTACACTACACTGCAGTTGGACAATCTTCTTGGAAAGAGTTGACGTGATTGGCTTATTTCGATCGCTAGTACTTTCCCCGATTAGGTGGGAGGGCATTTTTATAGCAATACATAACAATTTTTATAAAGCTAATGTCTGGTTGGAGAGACATGCACAGATGGTCAACCTGCCACAGGGTGAGGTCTGTCTGAACAGAAAGATGACCCTTGAACTTGTTAGTAGCTCAGGGGGTTTGTAATAATATAATAATATGCCATTTAGCAAACGCTTTTATCCAAAGCGACTTAGTCATGATTTGATGCTTTGTAGCCAAGCATCGGATGATTTGGGGTACACACACCCCAAGGGGTTCCCATCCAACGATCAGTCTCTGCACTCTATGCTGCTGTCATTGGCGGAGCTGTTTGATACCCCGCCCATCCCACCACGCCAGCCAATCAGTGTAGCGCAGCTCTGGCAGGCTCATGTCATGAGGTCTGAGGACCATTGGGCTAAGCTAAGCAGTTACTAGCATGTGTATGTGTGTATTTTGTGTCCTGGGAAAGAAACAAAGTCCCTTTTTATGGTGAAATACTGCTGACAAAAATCCTTCATTATTGTGTGTGTGAGAGATAATTGGATACGATTACTGTAATGAAATGCACCTTGAGAGGGGTTTGTTTTTATGTTTAAATCTATTTATTAGTTTTAAGTAACAATTTGTTTGAGAATTGCATAATAATATAATGTGGAGATGTCATAAATGTAAGGTTTGATATTTTTTTAAAACATTGGTTATGATGAGATTAATATTTGTAATATGAATATTTTGGAACTGAAAAAGGTGAAGGGTTTTCTTGGAGTTGGGGATTGAGGGGGAGAGGTTCCTTCCCTTACCCCCGCCTCAGGCTCTGATTTTAGGGCTACTGTTGCTGCAAGAGGACCCATCTGGTCCATAAGAGCCCCTTTAGCTGTAAGAGGCTCTATACCTGTATACTTTCTGCTTGAATTTTGGATTTGCATCTGAAGTTGTGCTAGCTATACATTGGCACACATTGTTAGAGTTTACATTGGCTGCCCTCTTCCCGTGTTAACTGTGCCCAGGAGAAATGTGAGATCATTTGAGATTGTGAATATATTCAATTGTACTGTTTTACATTAGTAACATTATGTCATGCTACTCTTGTACATCTTGTTCTCTGACAAAACGTTCCATTGAGGAAATCACGTTACTTTTTAAATACCTAAAAAAGGCTTCCTATTGATAAACATTCTCTGTCCCTGTTTTTCCAATACAATGAAAAGGTATCTTATTTTTTCGGTCTTATCTCTGTAATTCTCTGCTTGTGAGTTTGAGAACCCTATCAGGCATAAAAGGAGGATGGGTAGGGTACCAGTAATATGGTGATAACTCCACCTTAGCCCATCCAGTCTTTTCATGTGAGCAAAGGAGTCCGTCGGGCGTCAGACTAGGAATGAGGAGGAATTTCAGATGGTACCCTCTAGGTTGGACCCTCTACTAACTCGACCTTTCTTCCAGCCCGAAAGCTCTGAGTGAATGTAGCGCTAGCTTGCAGACACACAATGCAGAGAGAATGTAGTGGGCTTGACCTTAGACGTTAGCCTACTTGGTTACTTACACCCTCACCAGGTGCACTAGCTGAATGTAGATCCGTGATGCTTGATATTGAAAAGCAAATCCACTCAACTTCAACCTACAGATATCATACAGAAATGTAACACTAATTGTGCACTAACTCTTAACCCTCTCAAATGCACGTGCTCACACACACACACACACACACACACTAGGCACTTTGAAACATAATGTATACACACATACTGAAAACACCATGAAAATGTAGAAACGCACACATCAGACTTGTGAATGCAGGGGTGGACAGCTTTAGTCCAAGTGTTGCAGTGTCTGCTGGCTTATCAATAACATGAATTGAAGAAAAATACAAACCCAGACAGGCACGCCATCGCTCAAGGACTCAAGTTGTGAACCCGTGTTCTATTGTAACGGTTCTAATTTATTTCGTTTTTTTTAAATGTAAATAATAGGTGAAAAAGCTTTAGAGGATGTGTAGATTCACTTATAATTATATATTTTTTCTTTCTGGGCAATGTGGGGGGAATGTTTGTTGAAGGATATAAACGGCTGCCTGAGTTGGGCAGTAAAATATGGTTGTGATCCAAGTCCTTAAGCTGCCTTTCCTTATCTCCTTGCTTGCAAATAATGATACCATAGTTATAACAGACATCTATCCAATGTGACAGTTCACACACATTCAGTCACAGATTTGATTTGAATATGTGGCCTATGCAGGATTTTAACTGCACAACTCTGGTGTTGCGAGCACTATGCTCCAGGATGGAACAACATGTCTTGAACAGGTGTTTTCTAACATATTTGTTTTACAGCGATCTGCCACTATCAGTAGGGATGAAAGGAGAAGGGAAGCATTTAAGATAATTGGAACACAGCGCATGTCCCCTTGATCTGTTCCCTTTGGTCCTACAAAAGTTGACAGGGGGAAGGAGGTGTAAATATTGTTTTTGTGGAATCATGGACCTGCTCTGCCCGCCTCCTCCCGAACCACCTCCTCTCGTCGGTTGGTTATGGTACGCAGACTGTAGTGGAGGTAGCAAATGTTCTGTACTATTTTACTATTTTTAACACAGGAGCAAAACTTTGTACTAATTTCCAAATAAAGAGGATTTGATACCTTGTCATGTCTGTAGTGTGTGTGTGTGTGATTTAAAAAAAAAAGTTAAGTAAAAAAATAAGTCAGTTACTATGATACTCACTTGAGAAATAAACCATACATCAATTCAAACATTCCATAAGCTGTGGGTGTGTATTTTAAATACAGTAGTCAAAACCATGACAACATAACATTATGGTAGTCTAATTTTATTCAAGATATATTTAGTGTTAATGAAACTCAAGAAAAAAAATATTGTTAAGACGTGCTGATTCTGCTCTATGTATGCGGTTACCATAACGAGAGCGCCGCACTGCAGATTCAGATCCTCTGATAACAACGCCTTCATCTGCAAGCCCCTCCCCCACCCTTTGGCCTCTGTCTGCATCACCTTAGTGCAATCATATCACAGTCACTACCATCATCACCTTAGTCCACATGAAGAGCCCAAGCCAACCCCGTGCCCAGAGCGACCAGCTGTAAGAGGGGACCATAGACACTGTGCTGCTAGGAGTGCATGCTGGGATTGTAGTGGTTGCTGACCAGCTCTGAAGCAGGGAGTGAAGATCAGACCCATCTGGCACAGGTAGAAAGACAGAAAGAGAAGGAAAGAAAAGACAGACGAGTGCATAGTGATTTGGTCCCAGAAGCACAGCCAGGCCACCAGTGAGGGGAGGGGGAATGTAGGACCCCTGAAGTGTCCCTAAAGCGACAGAAAGGCCAAGGTCCAAACCAACCCCTAGCCCCTACCACTAGGCACTTCTAGTTGTGATCCTTGGAGTTTCCACCATACTAGTCATTTTGGTTCATTAACTAAGAATCAGAGAATCAAGAAGAGCTAGTACTAAAGGCTACAGGTCTGTTTGACACTAGGCTATGAAGTGAGAAAGAGAAAGAGGGCCTTATTGGCTCCTGCGTCTCAGCTCTTGTTGAGGGCTCCAGAGGGGGTCTAGGCTGCTCAGGGGGTCTTCTCCCCCCTCCTCGCAGGGCCCCTGGTGGAGGCCCTGGCCCTCTGGCCGGCTGCAGGAAGCTCTGCTTGGTGACACGGTGCTTCCCCTTGCCCCCACCACCCTCCATGGAGAAGGCCTCGGGAGTCAGAGAGGCCAGCAGCTCCAGGGAGTTCGGGGCCGGGCCAGAGGGAGGGGCTGGATCAGGGGTCACCTCTGGGACCACATGATTATTGGCTGTGGGGGCAGAGGAAGGGGCGATGGCATCCACACCATTGAGTGGTGGGGACTGAACCTTCTCTGGGGAGGAGGGACTGAGGGAGGAGGGTGGGGGCTCGCTGGGAGAGGGGTCCTGGGTGGGGGCGGCGGCTGGCTCTAGCTCTCCATCCAAGGGCAGGTCGGTGGGGGGGATGAAGGGTTGGTCCTCCAGACCAGAGGGGCGCCAATGTTGAGGCCAGGGTCCATGGCTGGGTCAGTGGCACTGGGGGGCCGGATGCTGAGTTTGGCGATGGTGGCCTGAATGGAGCTGATGGTCATGTCACCTCCCAGAACTATGTCCTGTTGGGACTCCTGCCGAGAGTAAGGCTATAGGGAGAAGACAACCAGACAATATTTAGCCAAGAGTGAGCAGTAATGTAGTATAGATGGGGTTGGTTGTTAAGCAACAAAACCGACACGTGCGCAACTATGGGGCAAAACAGACAGGGTTGGCTTAGATTGTTGACAACATGTAAACTATATTCAGTCTCCAATGTTTATTGAAAACATAAATAAATGTGCACAATAAGCACTTGTTGTCTCTCAAATACATTGTGATGGAAAATGTTATGTTTGTACTTTTCTAATAACCAATTCGACTGGGATCATGCAAGTGACTGATTGATCGTGCCTGGGAGGAATCCTCACTCAGTATAAGCAATTTGGCAGTACGCCCAGAACATTGTTTTGAGAACTAAAGGGGGTATCTCAGTTTCAAGGTCCCAGATTTGGGAGAAGAAGCCTTGTGAGGTGTCAGTCAGTCACATGCAGGAACTAACATTAATGAAGAATAATGAATAATGTAAATCATGCAAATATAACTTGTCTGTGTAAACAGTATATAAGGGAACTAACGGGACTGCCCCGGTAGAGCTCCTGACAGACGTGTACTCCTTGGTGCATTAAGTTTGTTGGAACCTCTCCAGCTTGCTGCTGATAAATAATTATTTATTTAATATTTACTTTAGGTGTCCCTGGTGTTGAATTTCCACGACAACATCATTACAGATATTGGTTAGCTAGCTAGCTAATTTTTGCCATATTAGCATTGACATGAAATCAGTCAAAACACCTCAAAAACAAGACATGGTATCAATAACAAGATAAAACTAGCTGACACGAGTCACTTACGATTCCCCACATTGCAGCTTCTTATCATTGTTGCTAGCTATCTGGCCATCCAGAATCACAACAACTCACAGACTTCTGTCCCATTGAAGCGTGCGCATCGTTTTCGTGATGTGAGACCATAAAGCCTGAATGCCAAAAGGATCCAAAACTGGCTCAGTGAGAGACTGGGCTCACCTTGGTGACAGCAGTGCTGGGTGTCTTGCTGCAGGGGGCGGTAGGGAGGTAGCCATGTCTCTGGAGGACATGCTCAGCGTGTTTCAGCACCGCCTCGTAACAGAACTTCAGGTGCAGCTGTGGACAGACACCAGACAGAGGAGACACCTTGAAGAGCCATCACATCAACAAACAACACTGATTCAATGCACTGGGAAAGTGACAAGATGTGCTTTTACTAGAGAACTTGCCTTATGTGACGTCACGCTTACGAGACTGCACATTTAACCCCTTGTAAAGCATGAGCTTGTTAGGCGTGTGTTTTTCTCACCTTCTCCTGCAGCATGTTCTTCCTCTGCTGCCTCATCTTCTTGACCAGTAGAGGTAGGTCAGGGATGCTGTTCCCTGCCTCCAGCTCCTGTACCGCTGCATACAGCAGACAGAGGGCACCGGTACGCCCCACGCCAGAGCTGAGGTCATGGAGAAAGACAGGGTTAGTGGCAATATCACATACATGTGTGTGTGTGTTGTAAGTACACACACACATCCACACACACACTTGGTTTTGATTAATCATCATGTTTAGTGATAGTAATAAAATAGCATGTGTGTGTTACCTGCAGTGCACAACAATGGGTGTGTGTAAGGGCCTCTGGTGCAGGTAGTATCCATGAACCTCCTGGATGAAGCAGATTAGATTGCTCTTGCTCTCAGGAAGACCCCTGGGAGGGAGGGGGAAAGAGAGAGAGAAAGAGAGAGGAAGAAGAAGAGAAATGGTATTCGTTAGCCAGATGTTCATTTCCATGCATACAGTGGTTACTCAGTTGTTCCTGTGTGTGTGTGTCCTGTGACTGTGTGGACTCACAGCTCAGGCCAGGAGGTGAACTGTAGGTGTATGACGGTGCGTTTGAGGCTCTGGTCACGGTACTGCAGGCCAATCATTCGCTCCACGTGGGTGGGCGTGGTCTTCTGCGTAGTCAGGTGACTGTGATTGGTCCCTGAGCAAGCTGCTGGCCGCGTTCTGTCGGGAAGTAGCGCAAAACCTTTCCCTACGGAAACACAATCAAGAGACAAAGAGTTGGGGTTCTTTCAATAAATTATAAAGTGTCAATCAAAATATGGACTGATAACATCAAATGGAATAATTCATTTGTGTTTTCACAGACGTTTCTGTCAATAGTCTGGAAGTAAATAAACCATCTACTCAAAGTTTTGCCTTATCCAATTCCTTACCTACTTCTTATTCCTCCTTGGGTAAAAAAACAACAGGTGGTACATCTACCATGGTGGTAAGCCTTTATGAGCGACCCCTAGAATGGCCCATTCCTTCTCCCCTGAGTGTGTGCTCATACCTTATCTAGCTCCTGCTCTGACACCAGCATGACCACCAGCGAAACCTTCTGCTCCCACACCATGAGCCAGAAGTCTGCGGCCGTACCCGACAGCGGAGCCTGCGTGGCGATGAGGCGCGGGCAGTAGGGCGACAGCTCCTCCACAAAGCTGCCGTTGATGTAGTCGTCCTTGCCCGAGCGCAGCAGCACGCGGTTACAGTCGTAGGGCATCACGTCCTGGTGGCGGTTCTTCATGGTGTAGCAGCGGGCGATGGCAATGGACAGCTGCCTGGCGTCCCTCTCCTGCCCCTCCTGGAGCTCCTTCCAGCGGGCATCCAGCGGCGACAGACCACCTTCGTCCACCGACGGGCGCTCCAGAGACTCCACGGCCAACCGGAAGCGTTCGAGTTCACCGCAGAGGCGTGCTACGCGTTCGGGGGCTTGGTACGGGTCGCCCTGGATCAGCCGGACGCCCTGGGAGCTCTTCTTACGCCGCTCCCCGTCCTGAGGGTCAGCCTTGGTGGGTTGGAGGACGTTGGCGGGGGCCTTGGGGCCGCCGGGCTGGCTCTCTGGGCTGGAGGAGAGCAGGTCGTCTGTGATGGAGTTCTGGTGCGGGAAGAGGGAGGTGGAGGGGGATGAAGAGGAAGGGAGAGAGGGTGGACCGCCGGGGTGGGGGCCGGGGAGGGCCTCTGGGGGGCCAGGCCTAGGGAAGAGGGGCCTGGGGAGGGAGAAGGGGAAGGTGAGGGCGAGGGCGAGGGAGGGATGACGTTAGGTGGGGGGGCCACTGGAGGAGCTCCAGCAGTTGGTGGAATCATGTGCTGGGGAGGGGGCCGAGGTTGACCCATAGAGGTGGGCTGTGGTGGGGCTCCGGGAGAGCCGTTCACACCTGGAGGAGTAGGGTACATGGTGGGGGTCATGGGGGCTACAGGCTGGGGAGCCTGGGACTGTTGGGGGGCTGAATGAGGCATCATAGGAGGCTGGTAGCCCTGTGGTAACTGGGGCTGGTAGCCATGTTGGGGGGGCTGACCAGGGTGGGGCATCTGGGGCCCCTGAGGTGGGAGGGGGCCACTGGGCAGGTAAGCCTGAGGGAGCTGGACATGATGGGGCTGGGAAGCAAGGGGCATCTGCTGGTGCAGGCCAGGAGGCATGGGCTGGTTGGTGGGAGGCAGGTAAGCCTGGGAAACTGGGGGCATCGGCTGGCTGTTAGGGGGCATTTGATGATGAGGGCCAGGGTGTATTTGTGGATGAGGGTGCATTTGCTGTGCGTTGGGATGCATTTGTTGTTGTTGGGGAGGTAGCATCTGCTGATGAGGGTGCGGGGGCATCTGTTGGTTGGCAGGGTGCATGTATGGTTGGGAGACAGGGGGCTGGGAGGTGGGGGGCATCTGTGGGTGAGGGCCCCTTGGGATCATGTGTGGGGGCTGTTGGGGCAAGTAGCCCTGCTGAGGGTGTTGAGGCTGATAGCCCTGTGGTAACTGGGGCTGGTAGCCATGCTGGTGTTGTGGCTGGGGCTGACCAGGATATGGCTGCTGATACTGGGGGGGCATGGGCGGCCGGGGCTGGTGCTGGGGGGGCATGTACTGTGGGTAACCCTGCTGGGCCTGGGGAGGGGGTCGGGGCACAGGCATAGCCCTGGGGGCAGACTGGTAGACGGGGGGCAGCTGCCCAGGAGGGTGTTGGTACTGCTGCTGTGGATGTTGGTGTGGCACCTGGCCGGGCGCTTGCATGGGCACCCCAGGCTGGGGCATGTACTGTGGGTACACACCCATCTGTGGGGGAACAGCGTAGCCTGCAGAGACAGTAGGTGGTACAGGATGGCGTGGGGCTGAGTTATAACTGGGGATGGGGGTCTGGATACTATCTACCGTTGTAGTGGAGGGACGGACAGAGGCACGGGCAGGCCCGACTCCCCCAGGTTGGGGGGCTTGTGGCTGGGGAGGGCCATAGCCAGAAACAGGGGGCTGCTGGGGGGGTAGCTGAGTGAGGGGTCCGCGAGGGAAACCCTGGGCGGCGAGCGGGCCGGGGAACTGGGGTGGTCGAAGGTTTGGGGGGAACCGAGGGGCATAGAACGGTGCCCCAGGTGCCCCTGGCCAAGGTAACGAAGCATTGCCACCCAGGTTGGCACCAGGGAGGAAAGCCTCAGGTCCGGGGCGAAGGGCAGAGGGCAGAGAGGGGTGATCGGGGGGTAGACTACGGAGCTCGTCAGGCAGGTCTCCTCCCAGGCTCAGTATAGCAGCGTTGATCTGGGCCAGCTCGGCATCCTCCAGACTAGAACAGGCAGAGTCCACGTCTGAGCCCCCCTTGGACCCCAGGGACGGTTTGGCTGCCGTGGGCCGAGAAGGGGGTTTCTTCTGGGTCTCCCTGTCCAGCACGGCCTTCCTCTCCTCCTCCCTGCCCTGACACAGGTTCTTAGCTCTCTCCAGCAGGTGGGAGGACTTGGTCTCCAGGTCCTCGTAGAACTCCTTCCCCTCCTGGGACTTCTTCATCAGGTCCTCGTAAGCCTCGTAGGACGCCACCAGGGTCTGCACCGTGCCGTTCCACCTGAGAGTTGGAGCGAGAGAAAGGAAGGAGGAGAAGATGAAGGGAACAATGACATGAGGCTAGTGCTTATGTAGCTAGTGTTTCCAGTGGATATTTGTCTGCTCCGATTTGTTTGTGTGTTCTGATTTTCTACATTGGCCCCTTCCCTATGGCCTTGGATTGGAACGGCGTCAAAGTCCTTTGCCCAATAGTACTGGTGTCCCACTAAAACCCTTCCCAAGCCCTTGCTCACTTGTGTTCCATCTCGGTAAGGCCCTTGCGGACCGAGGCGTATTGCACGTTGGCTTCCGTCAGCGCCTTGAGGATGTTCTCCTGGGCAGACAGGTTCTGGTCAATGTACACTTTCACCTGCTCATACTTCTTCAACTGCTCCTCAAACAACCTCTATAGGGAGGGAGAGAGGGAGGGAGAGAGGGCGGGGGAGAGGGAGGTGGGGAGAGAGAGAGAGAGAGGCAAATGTTACATATTGTGTCTTAAGAGGCATGCACAGCGGTCTAAGGCACTGCATCGCAGTGTTGCGACTACATCGCTGTTTGATCCCAGGCTGTGTCACAACCGGCCGTGACCGGGAGTCCCATAGGGCGGCGCACAATTGGCCCAGAGTAGTTCAGGGGGGCTTTACTTGGCTCATCGCGCTCTAGCGACTCCCTGTGGCGGGCGGGGTGCCTGCAGGCTGACTTTGGTCGTCAGTTGAACAGTGTTTCCTCCGACACATTGGTTCAGCTGGCTTTTGGGTTAAGCGAGCGGGTGTTAAGAAGAGCGGCTTGGTGGGTCATGTTTCGGAGGACGCATGACTCAACCTTCGCCTCTCCCAAGCCCGTTGGGGAGTTGCAGCGATGAGACAAGATCGTAATCACGAAATTGGGGAGAAAAAAAGGGGGTAAAAAAATATATTTATATACACACACACAATGTCCTGTACCTTCATGTCAGTGCGCTCAGTAGTGACCAGGGAGGAAGTGATGTCGTCCTGCTGGATGAGGTCACGCAGCTGTTTCTCCAGGGTGCTCCTCTGGTCCCTCATCTCTTGCACCTTCCCCAGGATCCTCTTCATACACTGCAGCCCTGCCACCTCCTCTGTAGGATCACACACACACATTTAGAAACACACTCCAAATGACCACACAAACACATAACTCTTTTCCACTCTCCTATACCCACCCTCGTTGAGTTGGGGCCTAGGCAGGGCATCTCTCAGGGCATCCAGTGGTCCCCCCAGCAGCCTCAGGTTACTGATGTGCAGGTTCATGGCTCTGTGCAGCTCTGTGTTGGTGAAGCTGGCCTTCTCATGGGCCTCCATGTACTTCTCCAGGTCCCTGCGGATCTCAGCCAGGGTCTGGGCATGTGCCTGGGGATGCAGCTGCGCCGCAAGGCCTCCTCCTGCCGCCTCTTGCAGCGCCCGCACCCCGGCCTCGTCCTCCTCCAGCACGTCCCGGATCTCCCTCAGAGACGCCTCCACGTCCGTGAACACACCAGACAGGACTGAGGGAGAGGGACATAGGGATTAGTATCTAAAGGCTGTGTGCGTATGTGTGTGGGTATGTGTATGTGTGTGTGTGTGTCCCAAGCCAACCACTCACCCTGCATGGACTGAATGAGGCTCTTGACAGTGTCTGGTCTGACACTGAGCGCAGCACACTTCTCCATCAGTACAGGGGGGATGTGACTGTACATGTCCAGGTTATCTACTGAGTCTGGCTCCAGACCCAGAGAGTCCATAAACTGCCTGCAAAGCCAGAGCTAGATCAGTAACCACACAAAGTCACTATATTAAACCGTAAAGGCATACCTAGACGTCTCAAATACACACACAGCCCCTCCGACTCTCCTACTCACTCTAGAGTCTCATTCCTGCTGTCTATCTTGGCCATGATGTCCCGTAGCAACTTGGCCTTCTCTTCACTGTAGAGAGAGGAGGCCTCGTGGGCAGCCATGGGCACCAGCTTGGAAAACAGGTCTGGTCCTGTGACACTGGGATCAGTTGGGTTCACGGGCAAGGCCTTCACCAGGGGGGCACCTAGAGAGGACATAATGACAATGAAAATCCAAATATAGTATATGAAATGCAGGAGAGGTTAAGTGTGAGGATAGGTCGTAGGTCAGGGTTCAATGTTACCTTTGACTGAAGCAAGAGTCTCCAACGAGGGGACAGTCTCATGGTAGATGAAGTCATTGTCTTTCTTGGCAGAGTTGAACCTACAAGGGACAGAGGATAAGGAATAGCAGAGGAAGGGTCAGAGAGAACCACTTAAGCGAGAGCTCCACTGTTTGAGTGAGAGAGTGTGGCAGAGTGTGTGTGACTGTCTACATCTCAAAGGGTAAAGACTGTACCAACATAGCCACAATCATAAGTGAATATACAGTAGAGAATATAGCTGCTTACTTTCCCCCTATCACGTCCATGGTGAACTTCAAGGCCTCCTGCACACTGTCCGGCTGACCCTGTTAAAACAGAGAGAACGAGAGAAGAGAGGGAACTGAGGGAAAGGAGCATAAAGACAGTTCCTTTGTTATGAAAATGTATTCACTCACTAACTGTAAGTCGCTCTGGATAAGAGCGTCTGAAAATGACTAAAATGTACATGTTATTGTAAGCTTGATAACAGATACAAAAGAAACCATTTCAGAATGCCAAATGGAAAAGGTTACAGAGTCAACTGGAAGGTGACTGTACCTTGGCCAACTTGATGGCTTCACTGAGTTTGTCTAAGGAGCTCTGCAGGTAAGCCAGCTGTTAAAAACAAAAAAACACACAGCTTTAGAAAAATAGGTGTATAAGGAGAGAGATTGGTATGCATGTAGAGGTATGGAGGCATCAGAGGAAGATACACGGGGGGGGTAGTGAGGTGACATACCCGCTCTCCATATTTCTGTTGCTCCTCAGCCTGCTTCCCCATATGCAGCTGAAAATAAATATAATGTTATTAAATAAAATAGTATTTGTAAACCAAATTCAGAACACATTTGCAATATACTCCCTCACAACTCACATGGGCGATGGAAGCAAAGTAGTAGATCTTCATCTGCACCAGTTTTTTCCAGTCCTTCTGGATCTTTCCCAGCATGGAGGCCGTGTCAGAGTTCTCCAGAGCCCTGCACGCCTCCTTATAGTAGTCCACCACCTACACCAGGCCAACAACAGAACAGTCGCACACCTGGGTCGGACTCATTAGGGCACACCGTAGCAAAACATTTTGCGACAGAAAATGAAAATTCGCATTTTCCTATTGGATAAGTTCAGTTAGTCCCTCCCCGTTTGATGCCTATTGAGAACGACCCTGCTCTAGGACAACTGAGGTCTAGAGGGTGTTATCATGCACTACTACTATGTCTTGTGTTGAGAGGAGAGAGATTTACCTGAGCACTGATGCGGGCTACAAGGAAACTCTTCCTGTTGTCCAGCATGGACTTCTCCAGGAGACACTCCTGAGCCTGGCCCTGAACGGAGACAAATAAACACGATGAAGTGTGTGAGTGTGTGTGTGTGTGAGAACACATGCATGTGCGCACGTGTGTGTGTGTGTATGTGTGTCTGATAGTTACCAGCATGAGGTTGATGTTGAGGTTAAGGATCTGGTGACTCATGTCCACGCTGAAGTTGTGGCTGAAGTGGTCCCTCAGGTAGGAGAAGGCCCCCGCGGAGCACTGGAAGTGTGTACATGACACCTTCATCCCCTAGAGGGAGAGAGAGAGAGGAGGAAAGGGGTGAAAGAGGAAGGGAGACAGAAGAGAGTGAGGATGGAAGCGAGAGAAATAGACAAAGGGACATATTGAGTTTCAGAAAAAGGATGGCAATACAATGGATGTCAGTGTGAGATGTCATGGAGAGAGGTTAACGTGTTAAAGATAGACGGCCATTGATTCTGCTCACCTCTTCTGACACCCTGTTATCCATGGCTCCCAACATGGAGTGGAGAGCACCTACAGAGAAGACAACATTACGGCAATCAGGAAATAGCTGTTTGACGGAAGGTCAGTTTTACATTTCACCACTCAACGGTTCAACTCACCCAGGTTATAGAGGATGCAGGCTTGCTCATAGCTGATGTCATCATGAGTGACTGTTTTTCCAGAAAATATTTCTGTCCTGGTAAGAGAGAATGAAATTGGTGACACACTGTATTGGACACATGAGGGTGTGGTGTGTGTCTACGTGGATGTGCCTGTCTGTATTTGTATATACTATGGATCCCCATTAGTTCCTGCCAAGGCAGCAGTTACTCTTCCTGCGGTCCAGCAAAATTAAGGCAGTTATATACAATTTAAAAAACATTACAATACATTTCACAACAGATTTTTACAACACATTAAGTGTGCGTCCTCAGGCCCCTACTCTACTACCACATATCTATAACACAAAATCCATGTGTATAGTGTGTATGTTATCGTGTGTGTGTATGCGTGTGTCTGTGCCTATGTGTGTCTTCACATTCCCGGCTGTTCCATAAGGTGTATTTTTATCTGTTTTTTTTAAATCAGATTTGACTGCTTGCATGAGTTACTTGATGTGGAATAGAGTTCCATGTAGTCATGGCTCTATGTAGTACTGTGCCCCTGCCATTGTCTGTTCTGGACTTGTGGACTGTGAAGAGACCTCTGTTGGCATGTCTTGTGGGGTATGCATGGGCGTCCGAGCTGTGTGCTAGTAGTTTAAACAGACAGCTTTGTTGCATTCAACATGTCAATGCTTCTCACAAATACAAGTAGTGATGAAGTCAATCTCTCTTCTACTTTGAGCCAGGTGAGATTGACATGCATATTATTCATGTTAACTCTCCGTGTACATTTAAGGGCCAGCCGTGCTGTCCTGTTCTGGGCCAATTGTAATTTCCCTAAGTCCTTTGTGGCACCTGACCACATGACTGGATAGTAGTCCAGGTGTGACAAAACTAGGGCCTGTAGGACCTGCCTTGATGATAGCGTTGTTAAGAACGCAGAGCAGCGCTTTATTATGGACAGACCTCACCCCATCTTAGTTACTGTTGCATCAATGTGTTTTGAACATGACAGTTTACAATCAAGCATGTGTTCTGTTATACAGGTAACTCTTGATTCACAATATAGCAGGGGATGTAAAGCCATAACACCAATGTTCCCTCTAAGCTTAGCCCAGAGACTAATTAAAGCTCCCCCGGGACTGCCACGCAGAAATATCAGCCCACAGAGAGAAGCACAAAACTTTTTAGAGCAGTGGTAACCAACCGGTTGATTGCGATCGACTGGTCGATCTCCAATGCATTCCTAGTCGATTGCCAAACATTTCTGTAAAAAACCCAACGATAAAGCCTTGTGTTCCTATTTTAATTTTTTTCGTCTTGGGCTGTTGGCAAGTAGGTGAACTGTTGCCATTTTGAACCATTGCATGTGTCTGAAGGTAGAAACTCTGCCTTCCCAGCGGGCCCAGAGAGCAAATCAAGTGCACTATAGGCCTACCGCTGGCCAATCGGATGGCTCAGATGACCTTGTCTGCAGTAACGTAGCAAGGCATAAAAGAAAGCTACAGCAAAGTTGATACTGTGAAATTTCAAAACGTTTAAAACCATGACTAGAGAGACTGTCAAACAGATGCTGTTTTTATGAGTGAGTTCATGTTTAAGTTCTTACTCAGCACTGTCAACACTTTGTATTCAATGCTTTTATAAGCCATAAAAAGCACGTTTTTCCTATATCCACTCAGCGCTACAACAAGCACTGCAGCAGTAATGAATGAGTAGGAAAGTGTATCTATAGGATTGCGTTATTGAATTATTAGCGGTTTGGGTCTTTTTTAATATCGAGGAATATTTCACTTTCTCTGTTCATAGGAGTAACAACATGACTTTGTGCATGAGGCAGAAAGAATGCGGTGCGAGTCGAGTTTCGCCAGTTGGAAGATGGTGTCCCTTTTTGGTCAGTGGAGGAAAGGGAGAGCGGAGGGACGCTGAGACTGACCATCAGACGCAGGCACCATCAGCCCAGTAAAAAAATAAAAAATTCAGCTGTGCTTCACAAGTAATACAACTGCGGATCTATTTCCGATGTGATCATATAGTCTACCTCAAATGTTGAAATGTAATTTTAAAAAATAGCCCAAACAACAATGCATTGGCAGGGCAATTTAAGCAAAGCCAATATGTGGTGATAATGTATTGGGCCTATAGCTTACTGCACAAACCTCATTGCTACAGTACTGTTTTTAATTGATTCATGTTGCATAGGCGTACGTAAAAAAAAAAGTAATGTTAAAAAAATATCTGAGCGGTAGATCTCGGCTTGCATTTTGACACAAATTGATCTAGACTCAGAAAAGGTTGGTGACCACGGTTCTAGAGTTTTCCCTGTTAACACTATCAACGTTTCCCTTTACTGTGGCAATTGTGATCGAATCAACACAATATTAGCCATTTTGTTGTTGGCAGAACGCATCGGAGTAGGATTCTATTGCATTGACATGCACTACTCAGCCCGTACTCTACACAGACCAGTGCGGTATAAACAATCAGAGCTGCAGTAAGCCTATATGCATATAGACCATTGCCATATATGTACAGTTGAAGTCGGAAGTTTACATACACTTAGGTTGGAGTCATTAAAACTTGTTTTTCAACCACTCCACAAACTTCTTGTTAACAAACTATAGTTTTGGCAAGTCGGCTAGGACATCTACTTTGTGCATGACACAAGTAATTTTTCCAACAATTGTTTACAGACAGATTATTTCACTGTATCACAATTCCAGTGAGTCAGAAGTTTATATACACTAAGTTGACTGTGCCTTTAAACAGCTTGGAAAATTCCAGAAAATTATGTCAAGGCTTTAGAAGCTTCTGATAGGCTAATTGACATCATTTGAGTAAATTGGAGGTGTACCTGTGGATGTATTTCAAGGCCTACCTTCAAACTCAGTGCCTCTTTGCTTGACATCATGGGAAAATCAAAAGAAATCAGCCAAGTCTGGTTCATCCTTGGGAGCAATTTCCAAACGCCTGAAGGTACCACGTTCATCTGTACAAACAATAGTACATAAGTATAAACACCATGGGACCACGCAGCCGTCATACCGCTCAGGAAGGAGACGGTTTCTGTCTCCTAGAGATGAACGTACTTTGGTGCGAAAAGTGCAAATCAATCCCAGAACAACAACAAAAGACCTTGTGAAGATGCTGGAGGAAACAGGTACAAAAGTATCTATATCCACAGTAAAACAAGTCCTATATCGACATAACCTGAAAGGCCGCTCAGCAAGGAAGAAGCCACTGCTCCAAAACCGCCATAAAAAAGCCAGACTATGGTTTGCAACTGCACATGGGGAAAAATATCGTACTTTTTGGAGAAATGTCCTCTTGTCTGATTAAACAAAAATAGAACTGTTTGGCCATAATGACCATCGTTATGTTTGGAGGAAAAAGGGGGTTGCTTGCAAGCCGAAGAACACCATCCCAACCGTGAAGCACTGGCGTGGCAGCATCGTGTTGTGGGGGTGCTTTGCTGCAGAAGGAACTTGTGCACTTCACAAAATAGATGGCATCATGAGGAAGAAAAATTATGTGGATATATTGAAGCAACATCTCAAGACATCAGTCAGGAAGTTAAAGCTTGGTCGCAAATGGGTCTTCCAAATGGACAATGACTCCAAGCATACTTCCAAAGTTGTGGCAAAATGGCTTAAGGACAACAAAGTCAAGGTATTGGAGTGGCCATCACAAAGCCCTGACCTCAATCCTATAGAAGATTTGTGGGCAGAACTGAAAAAGCGTGTGAAAGCAAGGAGGCCTACAAACCTGACTCAGTTACACCAGCTCTGTCAGGAGGAATGGGCCAAAATTCACCCAACTTATTGTGGGAAGCTTGTGGAAGGCTACCGGAAACGTTTGATCCAAGTTAAACAATTGAAAGGCAATGCTACCAAATACTAATTGAGTATCTAAACTTTGACCCACTGGGAATGTGATGAAAGAAATAAAAGCTGAAATAAATCATTATCTCTACTATTATTCTGACATTTCACATTTTTAAAATAAAGTGGTGATCCTAACTGACCTAAGACAGGGAATTTTTACTAGGATTAAATGTCAGGAATTGTGAAAAACTGAGTTTAAATGTATTTGGCTAAGGTGTACAGTGAGGGAAAAAAGTATTTGATCCCCTGCTGATTTTGTACGTTTGCCCACTGACAAAGAAATGATCAGTCTATAATTTTAATGGTAGGTTTATTTGAACAGTGAGAGACAGAATAACAACAACAAAATCCAGAAAAACACATGTCAAAAATGTTATAAATTGATTTGCATTTTAATGAGGGAAATAAGTATTTGACCCCCTCTCAATCAGATACATTTCTGGCTCCCAGGTGTCTTATATACAGGTAACGAGCTGAGATTAGAAGCACACTCTTAAAGTGCTCCTAATCTCAGCTTGTTACCTGTATAAAAGACACCTGTCCACAGAAGAAATCAATCAATCAGATTCCAAACCACCATGGCCAAGACCAAAGAGCTCTCCAAGGATGTCAGGGACAAGATTGTAGACCTACACAAGGCTGGAATGGGCTACAAGACCATCGCCGAGCAGCTTGGTGAGAAGGTGACAACAGTTGGTGAGATTATTCGCAAATGGAAGAAACACAAAATAACTGTCAATCTCCCTCTGCCTGTGGCTCCATGCAAGATCTCACCTTGTTGAGTTGCAATGATCATGAGAACGGTGAGGAATCAGCCCAGAACTACACGGGAGGATCTTGTCAATGATCTCAAGGCAGCTGGGACCATAGTCACCAAGAAAACAATTGTTAACACACTACGCCGTGAAGGACTGAAATCCTGCAGCGCCCGCAAGGTCCGCCTGCTCAAGAAAGCACATATACATGCCCGTCTGAAGTTTGCCAATGAACATCTGACTCAACTCGCATCAACTCAACTCGACGTGTTTGGAGGAGGAGGAATGCTGCCTATGACCCCAAGAACACCATCCCTACCGTCAAACATGGAGGTGGAAACGTTGTGCTTTGGGGGTGTTTTTCTGCTAAGGGGACAGGACAACTTCACCGCATCAAAGGGACGATGGACGGGGCCATGTACTGTCAAATCTTGGGTGAGAACCTCCTTCCCTCAGCCAGGGCATTGAAAATGGGTCATGGATGGGTATTCCAGCATGATAATGACCCAAAACACACGGCCAAGGCAACAAAGGAGTGGCTCAAGAAGAAGCACATTAAGGTCCTGGAGTGGCCTAGCCAGTCTTCAGACCTTAATGCCATAGAAAATCTGTGGAGAGAGCTGAAGGTTCGAGTTGAGAGGGGTCAAATACTTATTTCCCTCATTAAAATGCAAATTAATTTATAACATTTTTGACATGCATTTTTCTGGATTTTGTTGTTGTTATTCTGTCTCTCACTGTTCAAATAAACCTACCATTAAAATTATAGACTGATCATTTCTTTGTCAGTGGGCAAACGTACAAAATCAGCAGGGGATCAAATACTTTTTTCCCTCACTGTATGTAAACTTCCGACTTCAACTGTATGTGCCATTTACTTTGAACTGGACTGTGTTTAAAGCATGAGCAGTTGTGAGTAGATGCGCTTAATTTGAGATCAAAACAAGAGCTGCATGTAGCCACGTGTGCATATTTTCTTCATATCCTTTGCTAGTTAGTGAGTTATTAGCCCGTTTATAGATAATTTGTAGTCAGCAATAGGGGAGTGATTGCTGCAAAGCGAGTCAGGTAAAGAGCTTTTTTTATGTCTTAAAGGGGCAGTGTTGTATTTTGAGACAGGCTTGAATAAGCTAAGTAGCCAATAGGTAGAGGGTAACATAATTTGTCTGATTCTCTGTAATAATGGTATGGGAATAATAATGCATTTTATTTTGTAAAGCAGTTTCTTGCATCTTACAACACAACAACATTTTCAGTCACCTCCTTGTCTGAAGGACAAGTGGATAAACAGGTTAATGTTAAGTCTCATGGAATGTAGGCCTACATTGAACACCACACATTGGCTGCTACATTAGGCTGAATGATAGAACAGCTATTTCCATGTTAAAATGTTATGGGATGCATTTCCTCTATTGTTTTGATGGTAGGCCACTCTGGTAGGCCTACTCTATGATCAAATAGCCATAGTAGCCTACATGGCCACTGTTAAAACTGTAACTTAAACCTGGTATGGCCTCCCGAGTGGCGCAGCGGTCTAAGGCACTGCAGTGCTTGAGGCGTCACTACAGATCCGGGTTCGCAGCCGGCCGCGACCGGGAGACCCATGAGGCGACGCACAATTGGCCCAGCATCGTCCAGGTTAGGGGAGGGTTTGGCCGGCCGGGAAGTCCTTGTCCCATCGCGCTCTAGCGACCCATCGCGCTCTAGCGCATGCACGCTGACACGGTCGCCAGTTGTACAGTGTTTCCTCCGGCTGGCTTCCGGGTTAAGCGAGCAGTGTGTCAAGAAGCAGTGTGGCTTGGCAGGGTTGTGTTTCGGAGGACGCATGGCTCTCGACCTTCACCTCTCCTGAGTCCGTATGGGAGTTGCAGCGATGGGACAAGACTAACTACCAACTGGATATAACGAAAAAGGGGTATAATAAATACTTAAAGCGGGTACAGCCTCAGTGTTCGCGTTTACTGTGAACACTGAGGCTGTACTTGCTTTAAGTGCTGGACGTTGCACAGAATTTTCACAACGTTCAAGTTTGCGCTAAGCAGACCTGAAATTTGCTCAGTGCCTGAAAGAAATTGAGGGAACATTGCATAACACATTCGCTTTTCCAGCAGCAGATTATGATAGATAATGTCAAAAGATGCACTGAAGTCTAACAAAACAGATCCCACAATCTTTTCATTATCAATTTCTCTCAGCCAATTATCAGTCATTTGTGTGAGTGCCGTACATGTTGAATGCCCTTCCCTATAAGCGTGCTGAAAATCTGCTGTTAATTTGTTTACTGTGAAATAGCATTGTATCTGGTCAAACACTATTTTTTCCAAACGTTTACTAAGGGTTGGTAACAGGCTGATTGGTCGAATGTTTGAACCAGTAAAGGGTGCTTTGCTATTCTTGGGGAGCAGAATTACTTTTGCTTCCCTCCAGGCCTGAGGGCACACACTTTCCTGTAGGCTTAGATTGAAAAGATGTCAAATGGCAGTGGCAATATCGTCCGTTATCATCCTCAGTCATTTTCCATCCAAGTTGTCAGAACCATGTGTCTTGTTGATAGACAACAATATTAGTGTCACCTCTTCCACACTCACTTTACAGAATTACAATGCTTGTCTTTCATAATTTGGTCACTTATGCATGGATATGTAGGCTCAGAATTTGTTGTTGACATGTTATGCCAAAGTTTGCTAATCTTGCCAATTAAAAAAGTATTAAAGTAGTTGGCAATATCAGTGGGTTTTGTGATGAATGAGCCATCTGATTCAATGAATGATGGAGCCGAATTTGCCTTATTGCCCAAAATTTCATTTAAGGTGCTCTAAAGCCTTTTACTATCATTCTTTATATAATTTATCTTTGTTTCATAGTGACTGTTTTTCCAGAAAATATTAATGTTCTGGTAAGAGAGAATGAAATTAGCGACACACTGCATACATGAGGGTGTGGTGTGTGTCTACGTGTATGGTAGGGAGAGCTTATGAAAGTGTGTGTTTGTGTGTGTGTGGATAGTCCAGATTGTCCATCTGTAGATGCTCTAGAGATATCTGTTGATAAGCAACTGCTTGCTAAGGTTACAGTTAGGGATGGTTTAGAATAAGGGTTAGGGTAAGAGTTAGGGTTAGGATAAGGGTTAATGGTAGGGTTAGTAGATAGTCTGTAGAGCATCTACAGATGGACTATCCAAATAAAGTTATTTCCTTCTTTCCGTAGCTGTCTGTGGTAGAGTTTATGAAAGCGAGTGTGTGTACGATAAGGATCTCATGGGTAAGTATGTAAATATAGGGGTCCTATGTGTACTTCCTTGTCTCATACCATGAGATGGGTACTGCTGCCTCCTGCCCAGGCCCCAGAGGCACACGGCTCTGGAGGTAGTGCAGCTGCCCAAAGTACTTCCTCAAAATGCTGCAGCCCTCAAAGTCCCGCGTCACATTCACCGCACCCTGCCAGAAAAAGAGAGAAACACTTACTTATTATATGATAGAAAGACAGTACAGTATATGACCTACATAACAAAAAATCACAACATATGACATTTGCATAGCACAACTCGCTCAGTCCCAGTTCATACCTGTCGCAGTGTCTCCAGCTTCTTCAGCTGTTCATTATAGTTGTCTGGATTCTCCCCATAGTTCTTCAGGATGAACTGAAAAGAGAGAGGGAAAGCAGATAAGCGGGGCCATTGGGAGCACAGCAAATAACCTTTCATTAACCAATAAGGTCTATGTCCCGTGTGGCTCAGTTCGTAGAGCATGGTGCTTGGAACGCCAGGGTTGTGGGTTTGATTCAAAAACGGGGGACCAGTATGGGAAAAAAATATGAAAATGTATGCAGTCTCTCTGGATAAGAGTGTCTGCTAAATTACTAAAATGTAATATTCGATCAGATTCAGATTTGGAGAAATGTTATTGTCCCATCTCTAGAACATTCAATTTGGCCTTGAGAGTTGATTAGAGGAAAATGTAGGCCTATAAGAAGTACAACAAACCTAATGGCCCTCACATTGTCAAAAGAATCCTGGGCTGAGAGAGCCCCTGGATTTGTGTAGGGTGGGGCGTGTATGACTATAGTGCATTCAAGCAATGGTGATTCTATGTTTACCCAGACACCATTCACATGGAAAACCTTTAGTTTTACATAGGCATTGACGGTTTTATTAGGCATAATTGTTGGACGATTCCAGAGTTTAAAGCATGGTTGTTCTACTGAAAAGGTCGGGGACATTCTAAAAACGTTTTTTTCGGTCCCTTTTTGGCGACCAATTGACTATCAAATCAGTCAGACCATCATGTTAAACCGTTTTTTTTTTTTCATTCACTTGTGGGATAAAAGGCTGTCCCACAGTTGTTGCTAATCATTCTGGTTTTGCCATAACAGAGGTGAAACATACTGCGTGTCCACAGGCTACAACAGATCATCAGTGGAATTCACACAAGAAGCCTTTGCCTCACAACATAGAAAACTACTTTACAGTAAGTTAATATTTGTCATTTGGGTCAAAGGTGTCAGGATGGAGAGTATGTGGCAATTATCTAAACAAAGGTGAGGATACAACAGTTCACCTGACAAGACCGAATCCAAACATTACACTGTTGATTTCGTGTGCATTTTACATTTACTGTACTTTTCACAGCATTTGCTGATAACGAAATCTGGAAATACTCTGGATACATTCAGTAACATAATAATAATAATAATAATAATAATAATAATAATAATAATGCATATTTGAGGTTGATGCAACATAAGACAAAATGCTTACAAGAGTTAGAATGAGAGGTCAAACTGGTGTCTCCAAGTGGCAACATAACTCTCCAAAGTGTGCACAGTTCCTAAGTAATTTCAACACACTTTTATGACTCAGGGAAAGAGCAGCTCTCCTAGCTGTGCCTTTGAGGAACTGAAGCAAGCAGACTTGTAGTATATATATTTTTTGAATGCTGCCCTGAATCCCCACCATCACATTGTTCCAGCAGGATCCAGCTCTAATTTAGCACTGACATTCATAATTATTCCATAATCCAATCCAAATAATCAAATGTAATCCATGTAATAAAATAAAACCAGGTCTGTGCCCATTGTGTGGACAAAGGGAATGAATCTTAATCTCCAGACAGTGTTTATTTATTTTTTGGTCTTTGTTAGCCTAAAGCCGGAATTCATTCAAATCCACATTAGGTCCGCGTTAGATCTACCTTATAGCTAGAGGAGGCTGGTGGAGGAGCTTATAGGAGGACGGGCTCATTATAATGGCTGAAATGGAATTGTGGAACGGAGTCTAATATGTGGTTTCCATATATTTTATGTGTTTGATACCGTTCCATTTTAATCCATTCCAGCCAATACAATGAGCCTGTCCTCCTATAGCTCACCCCACCAGCCTCCTCTGGTTATAGCGCGCTTGACATACAAAGGTTATTCCTGATTGAGCCAACATGCACAGCTTTTACAGTAAATGAGATTTCGCGAACGTCTGGGAAAATGCCTTTAAAAGCTGCATTGTCGGCTGCCCGACATTGTCGGCTGCCGCACTGCTCTATGAATTGAATCCCGGCATAAATCTAGTCACTTGTTTTACTTGGTCGTCAAGAGACCCCGCTTTATTCTCCTGTAGATGTTGAGAAGAAGAGCAGCAGTGCCGTCTGGATCAGAGTCTGAATCTTCTGACAGCAGAGAGACGAGACTCCCCTTCAGCTCCACAGACTGACCAGGATGTGGAGGTTACCACAGCCGACAGGTAATCATGGAGCTATCTGGAGATGGTTGTTTGGGGACGGTGGACCAAATGGATTAAGCCGATTGAAAGCCCATATGTCTTGATTTTCCCTGCCTGATTGTTCATTGCATCACTGATAATATTCCTGTCAATGTTTTGATCATGACATGGATGGCGAGGATCTTTTTAACAATCATGATGACGGTTGTTGTTATCAATGTTGTGTTATCATCATGATTGTTGATTGGGACATATACTCCTACAGGTCTCCAACAGATCAGGTGGCTGACCTGCACCAAACCAGGAGTCAGATACGGAAAGTCTGTTTGACCATCCTGTGTCTGAGTGTCACACTAGGGCCATTGGTGACTTTCAGGACCAACTCAACTCAAGCTTGCTCCATTCCTCCCCCTTTCCACTCTAACTGCCCTGTTCACACTGCCAAATACACTATAACACCAGTCAAGGGTTCAACGCATCTAAGGATGTCTGCATACAAGGACCACAGGGGAAGGGGAGCCATGTGCATCATTGCCATGGTCAACAGAGACCGACCCACATCTCTGTACTGTGTGTTTTGCTGCTCTGGACAGGCCCCCCAGGGCGCTCCAGATGATGTCGTAATGCACAGCATCCACTATGGATACCCGTATGCGGCCGCAGACCTGCTTTGCCTCGAAGGACCAGGAAGGACCAGGATGCAACGCCAAGCACGTCTCTCACCACACACCTCGAGAGCCAGGACGCCCTCAACCAGACGTTTCTGACTATCCAGAACAGGGAGATGCGGGAGGAGGACTTCCCCTTTTACCTCACCGTGTGCATGTCCAGCATGTTTGGAGACTACAACAACGTCCATCAGTTTGTCAAGACCATTGAGTTTTACAAGCTCCTGGGGGTACGGAAGGTGTTCCTCTACCTCACCAGCTGTGGACCTGGAGAAGGTCCTCCAGTACTACGCAGAGGAGGGCACTCTGGAGGTGATCGACAGGCCCATCAACCACTTCCTCAAGACCTCTACTGGGTGGGAGGCCCAGGAGCTGGAAGGGGACATCCACCTCAACGGCCAGCTGACCACCATGAACGAGTAGGTACCGGTCGCAGTACCTGCTGCTGGCTGACGTTGATCAGCTCCTGGTCCCGGCCTCACACATCTCTCTGTGACCCCTCATGGAGGACCTACAGGGGCAGCACCCAGACGCAGCCGTGTTCCTGATGGAGACGCACCTCTTCCTTGCCACGGCCGGTACCACTACGCCAGACCATTCCGCACAGAGGAGGGCGCCGGAGGTGGATCTCCTGGACTACGCCTAAAGAGAGCCTGTTCAGGAGGACACCTTCCGCTCCTACAAGATGGTGGTCAACCCCCGGCTGGTGCTGCAGACAGCCATGTTTTGAGGTGACACAGAGCTATGGTGACACTGTGAGGGTTCCGTCCAATGTATGTAAGATCATGCAGGTGAAAGAAGCTCAGAAAGGGAGCTGGACCAACGAGCAGCTGGTCCTCGATTGAAGTCTCTGGGAATTCAGAGATTATCTCATGCCTACTGTTGATTAAGTTTTACCGAAATTAGGAATACAGACAACTCCTTGTGAGCATTTAGTCAGTTAAAAGTTGGATATTGAGAATCAAAATGCGAGATTTCTGGGACTACAGGGTAAATCCATTTGAATTCAATCACTATTTGACAGCACCCCCAAAATATTCAAGAGATAAAGGTACTCAAAGTTGACCTATTTTGCATAGCCCACCATACCATTAGACATCCATGTCTTCATTACTGGAAAAAAATTAATGGTTGAGATTTACATAATTTAAACGCTTACAAACAGGGTTGTCAAACTATTTTATAATTTCTTGAAAAAAATGTTTTCAAAAAAAGATTGTCTTTTTTTTAAATCTTAAATGTTGGGCTGTGAAGTAATTGAATAACCATGTAACTGATGGTTATGGATGAAGGAATCATTAAAATAAAATAACCATCAAAACGGTTTAAATAGGCCTACATTCACTTTAGTAACTTTAGACACCATTTTGTATACATCTGGCCCTTCATTGGACACTGTGTTAACAAACCTCCAAACGAGCTTCAATGCCATACAACACTCCTTCAGTAGCCTCCAACTGCTCTTAAACACTAGTAAAACTAAATGCATGCTCTTCAATCGAATGCTGCTGGCACCCGCCCACCCGACTAGAATCACCACTCTCGACGGGTCTGACCTAGAGTATGTGGACAACTACAAATACCTAGGTGTCTGGTTAGACTGTAAACTCTCCTTCCAGACTCACATTAAGAATCTCCAATCCAAAGTTAAATCTAGAATCGGCTTCCTATTTCGCAACAAAGCCTCCTTCACTCATGCTGCCAAACATGCCCTCGTAAAACTGACTATCCTACCGATCCTTGACTTCGGCGATGTCATTTACAAAATAGCCTCCAACACTCTACTCAGCAAATTGGATGTAGTCTATCACAGTGCCATCCGTTTTGTCTCCAAAGCCCCATACACTACCCACCACTGTGACCTGTACACTCTTGTTGGCTGGTCCTCACTACATGTTCGTCGTCAAACCCACTGGCTCCAGGCCATCTATAAATCACTGCTAGGCAAATCCCCGCCTTATCTTAGCTCATTGGTCACCATAGCAGCACCCCTCCGTAGTCTGCGCTCCAGCAGGTATATCTCACTGGTCATTCCCAAAGCCAACACCTCCTTTGGCCGCCATTCCTTCCAGTTCTCTGCTGCCAATGACTGGAACGAATTGCAAAAATCTCTGAAGCTGGAGACTCTTATCTCCCTCACTAACTTTAAGCATCAGTTGTCAGAGCACCTTACCGATCACTGCACCTGTACACAGCCCATCTGAAATTAGCCCACCCAACTACCTCATCCCTATATTGTTATTTATTTTGCTCTTTTGCACCCCAGTATCTCTATTTGCACATAATCTCTTGCACATCTAGCATTCCAGTGTTAATACTAATTGTAATTATTTTGCACTATAGCCTATTTATTGCCTTACCTTCATAACTTGCTACATTTGCACACACTGTATATATATTTTCTGTTGTATTTTTTGACTTTGTTTTTTTACCCCATATGTAACTCTGTGTTGTTGTTTTTATCGCACTGCTTTGCTTTATCTTGGCCAGGTCGCAGTTGTAAATGAGAACTTGTTCTCAACTGGCTTACCTGGTTAAATAAAGGTGAAATAAAAATAAATAAAATAAAAGTAAAAAAAAGTTTAATTAACTTTATTTTAATGTCGATTAACTTTACCTAATAGTGTTTACTAATGATTATAAGCAATTGTTTTTCTAACTTAGTCTGTCTATTAAACATTCTACATTTCCTCCTCTTTCCAACTGTCCTTTGATACTTGAGCAGCTCCCCTAGAGGCTGGAGGGGTGTAGAGCGCTATAGGCTATGGTACTTCAGTAAACAAATGGGTGGACTTTCTTTTATACAATGCACGTTTTCATTGCTTGCTAGTAAATCAATCAATTGGTCTTCTTTTAAAAACAGGTTGGATGTGTCCAACTATTCATTAATTATTCAACAGCAGTCAACAACGTTGTTCTGGATCTGAGGCCTTTAATGTGTTAATGTATCAAATGGACAATGCACCAATCCTCTCCAACCTGGTATGGTATAATTTTATATGGAATCTTGTCTAAATGTATAGGCTAATTAACATTGATCGGACTGGTCCTGGCTGATATGCCGCCCTAGACAAGACAAAAAAAATTGCCGCCCTCCTAGTGTTGGCCCGCAATGCACTTTTATGAATGCCCATGTGGTAGCCTACCGTTTGTAAAACAGGCAATTTACCATTGATCCCTGTCATTTGGTTACATTAATTTCTGTTGATGCATGTATTAATTACAGTAATTTACTGTTCTCATTCTCGGAGTGGAAACGTTGTTTGCAGAGTTCACAACCTTTCAAACCATAATTTACGTGCTCCATGAGAGCAATGGGCATGTGTCTGGTTTCACTGTCCTGTTGACGGAGCGCGTGCGCCTGAGCATGCATACCGTACGTTTCAACCAGAAGCGATGCCTCTGCTTGACAACTCTTCGCTACAAAAGATTGGCCTCTTCGTGGGCGTAGGCGTGAACCTATTCAAGTAAGTAAGTAAATACATTTAGAAAATGTTTTTAAAATATGTATTATTATCTAGCTAGCTCGCTAGCTTCAGCAGGCCACTGTGTGTAGGCTAATGAGCTGCTTGTTAGCTAGTTAGCCAACTTTACATACTACAACTCGTTAAGGCCATATTAGCTTGTTATCTTGATGTAGGCCTATTGATCATTGTAAATTAAAAACTCATGCTCCAATTGCATTTGTAGATAACAGCAATGGAAGAGGAATACCTGGGATAGGATAAAGTAATCCTTCTACCCCCCCTTACCCCACACCCTCCAAAAAAAAAAAAACATATTGTAAAGTGGTTATCCCACTGGCTATAAGGTGAATGCACCAATTTGTTAGTTGCTCTGGATAAGAGTGTCTGCTAAATGATGTAAATGTAAGAGGGTGAATGGATTTTCCGCTCCAGCTGTCAGAAATGGGAGTAGGTGTACTAGTTAGATAGGGCAGGTTGTGGGATGACATTATGCAAATATTCTCCAGTTTTAGTCCCTGGAGAGGAAAACTGTAAACTGGTGGTTTTGATTGACAGGTGCTTTTACAGTGGTGTTGTATGTGAGTTTGCTGATTCTCTAGAGGCCTATATGTCCATTCAGAAAGTTTCCTAAAGTAGCCTGTCTGGACTCCATCTCTTTAATAAATAAATAAAATAATATAATAATAATAATAATAATAATACGCCATTTAGCAGACGCTTTAATCCAAAGCGACTTACAGTCATGTGTGCATACATTTTTACGTAAAATCAAACTGTCCTGTCATGATTTAATCTCGTAAAAGGCCTATTTTCAGTAGCTTAGGTTACATTATTTCTCTCATTACAGCGTCCTCTTTTTGAATGACTGCAGCAGCAGGGTTTGTGACTGTATGTGAATACTTTGTTTAATGGTTTTGTGCGTTGAAATAGGATCTGTTTAAAAAAAATGTATATGCAGAAAAGCCAAGAGACAAGGACAAGGTAGGCATATATCAGTGGAGGCTGGTGGGAGGAGCTTTAGAAGGACGGGCTCACTAATGTCTGGAATGGTATAAATGGAACCGTATCAAACATGAAACCATATTACAATGAGCCAGTCCTCCTATAGCTCCTCCCACCAGCCTCCTCTGGCATTTCTTTATTTTGACTCTGTTAATGTTGTGCCAATATGAAAAAGCGACAGATCCTCTCCAACCTGGCATTTCTTAATTTGTTGATTAATATATGTAATAATCGGAATAATGAAATGCCATGAAAAATAACGAAGTGTAATTACTTGTTTCAAAATGGTTTTATTAAGAAGCATATCAATGTTAACAAGTGTACAAACAGTGTTGTGACCCCCCTGAACGGTTATGTCGGTGACCATGTACATTGACCTGGACAATTACCATAACCTCAAATTCCAAGATCACCACAGTCCAAGTTAAATGTAAATAAGCTACAATTTGTGTAAAGTCCCATTTTTTTTCATATTCACATATGTTCTAACTTAGACCCTATTTTACATGATCTGAGGTTTTTGTGTTGTGCCCACCATCGGTTGAGACACAACATGCTCTTGAATACAGGGTGGGTGTCATGTTTGGCTGATAATTGTAGTAATATAAAAATTAAAAAAAGACTTAAACTTTCAAATGGTACCACAAAGATGGTTGGAGGTCCACACAGATAATGTTGACTTCATTGGGAATATGTTGCCTTAAATGATACTGTCAATCCTCCATAAGAAACACATTGAAATCATAGAAATATAGATAATAGAATAGACATGACCATTTAAGTTGAGATTCGATGGTGGGTGGACCGGCGGCCATCTTTGTGGTAGTAATTAGAAGTTAAAATTTTAATTCAATTTACATTTCAATGGTGTACCCACTGTACCAACTACATTGCAGTGGTCTGAAGGGATAGGTCCAGTCTATGAATTGTATTTCTATGATTAAAATGTCATCC